AGGTACAATACAGTTAAGCGTTGGTGAAATCCGCAATCCTCAAGATCCCGATCTAGATACTCCTGTTGCACTGATGGTAAGTACATCAGATAAATAACAATAATTTATTCTCATTCTGTGCATGAGGGACGCCAGTTTACAGGCATCATCAACGTGATAAATTATATGTATGATTAGAAGGCATATTTAATAATGATAGTTTAATAAAATACATATTTATCCTACCTGTTTAGGACACGCCAGTTGTACAGGCATGGATAAGTATTATTTAAATTACATAAATTTGGTCTATGGTTAAATTACATGGTTGCTGTCGTTTTTGTCTTTGGTTTGTGGGAACAATATGATAACTAGTCATTCAATGGAACACATCAAGCGATGTAGAAATATTGTCTTCGCGTTAACGAAAAAACCCAAGTATGTTTTGGATGGATTACAAATACTGGGGAAAAAATAAAGCTGTGGGAGCAGCTTTAAACAGGCTAGCAGGAAATAACTGGAAACTAATAGCATTCTACTCTAAACAGCTAAATACTACAGAGACGAGTTATTCTGCTTTTGACAATGTCTCCAGCAATCTACCTAGAAGCTAACCGCTTTCGCCACATGGCAGATGCTAGACCGTTCAGGACCAACACAGGTCACAAGCCTCCTACTTACGTGCTGAGAGTGAGAACGGACATATGCCACACGAAATACATCATTCTTATTTAGTACCACAGTTCACCATGAGATAAAAATCAAATGAAGGGGATGGAGAAATTTGTGGCTCCCGAACTACGCAGAAGGCTTGTGAACACAGTACAACAAACCACTGTAGACTTCAAAGTACTTCAGAGGCTGAGTGAAGTGGAGAACACCTAGTTAAACAAACGGAAGGGCTTTCATCATTCAATAGGTGAAGAAAGCCTCATAAGTCATATAGAAGATAATGCTCCTACTTAGTTGCTCGTTCCATCCTTCTGAATTCCTTAACTACTCACATCATCTGAGAAGCCATAGAATACCGTGTCATAGTGGTCCTGCACGATGAAAACTCTAAGGCTCTATGATATCTTACCTCCAGTTCGAATAGAACAAGCTGTTTGATAATATCTACTGCTTGCCTCTCACACCACTGAATCAACTAACTGAATTTAGAGCGATATCTAGCAACTCTATTTATCTGTTGAGCGATCGAAATTCTTCATAAAACTCGAATCATTTATAAGAGTTTCATCAGACTTGTTAATCTCTCGTGTAGATTGCTCTAAAATCTTAGGTACAATTCTGGAAAACTTATCATTGGGAAGTATACCAACTGAATCAGAAGTAGACGGCATGAAAGACAAAAACGTACTAAGGGGTATTGGTATGTAGGATAAAGTGGTCAATGAATCATACTTACATGGAAGATAAAATAAATCAGTCATACTAAGTCTGCCTAAGGTGGTGGGAGCTTAAACTGGGATGGCCAACAGTTACTGGATAATCATGACAGACGTCAGGCCATACTGAGTGGTATGCTGCCTCAAGGTCTGTCTCTATCTAGTGATTAGCAAATATTGCAGTCTTGGCATGGGTGTTATTTAACGGACGACGAGATGCAGAGCCTCACAATACTTGTAGGATGATGGCAGACACTTCCTTGAAAATCTCTTGGTGTAGCCTTATAACCGGGACGATGAACCGTTGGAGGTTTATCAGTCGTTGATACTCGGCAAAGACATCATCTAGTGTCACTGTCGGATTTCGTTTCACATGGTTCAGTAGCAACATTGTAGTGACGGCATACTTAGGTGGTTTTAGGCTGTAGGTGAGCATTCGTGTCTGAAATGATCTTCTGTGCGTCGGTGGCGCAGCTTGTCAGGACATCGTCCGGGGTTAGACCCCCTGCAGACACACATCTGATATCTATGGTCGGCCTGCAAAATTTGGGCTACCTATATCCATGCTGAAAATTCCATACTTGTACCAAAAATACAGTGTAGCATCAAGCTGTAATCAAAATAAAAAAATAAAGTGCTTTCTGAACGTATTCAGAGTTGGTCCAAGGATGCAAACGACCTCAGGTGGCAACTACGTTTTGCATTGGGGCCATTATACTGAAAACTTTCCTTTGCGCGCATGAGTCAGTAAGCAATCCGCCAAGGAAATTTCGGTTTTTCCCCCATAGACTCTAGCCGGCTGAGAGGACTAAGTTCCGAAATGTACATTTGACCCACTTAATCTTGCTAAATGATTCTCGTCGGACAAAGTTTTAGTTCAGGTTGGTTGAAGGATACTACAAACAAGCATACTTCAAACACTACTATTCCATTCAAACAACCCTGTACGTCTGTTAATAATAAAAACCCTAGAAAAGCCATGATCAGCGAAATGATCTACAGAGTAGATACAACCTCAATACTTTCTCGTGAAAGGTAGATGTGTCTGTGAACAGAATCATTTGATGGGCAGCTGAAAAGGGATACAATAATTATTAAGACACCCACAATTCAAATTCAGGATGAATAGGAGGTGAAAATAGGTCTGTTCACATTAAGATTCGGAAAGATGATTTTCAAAGCCACGTTGAGATTGATCAGTAGGTACTGAAGGTCCAAACATAGCTTTCACGAGTTACAGCTTAGGACTAAATATATTTCCACTTCGAGAAGATATTCTTAAATTTATAAAGAACATTGATGGACTATTAAGACTATTATGCTATGATGCAGGAATTATTTATCTTGAAGCCAAAGATGAACCTCTAGAAATGCAGGACTGTCTGAGAATGTTGGAGGTGACAATGGGTGGGAACCTTGTGGAAAGTCATCGAAACTTATTAATATTCTAACTAATTAACGGTTACTAGTCAAAAATGTCCTAATAGTAGTGCTCTCGCAGACGTGGCGTTTAATCTTGTTCTCCGTGAGCGCTTACAGTGGGACGCTACACGACCGTGTCTGTGCTTTAGCAAGGCTGGCTATTTGAGAACGTGGAGGCCTTTTCCGACGTAGAATGGCCATAGAATGGGCCGAGTTATCCGCGGGCGAACGGTAGGAAGTGGTTAAGGAGATTATTCACAAAGCGATTTCAGATACCGTCACTCTAGTCACGACATAGCCCAAAGAAAAGGTCCTCATTGCTGAAGAGAGGTACTCAACATGATCTGCAAGCAAAGCGGAAGGCTTGATTCTGACCACTCCAAAAATTGCGTCTCTCACTCTATTATTATTATTATTTGGACATACATATATGTACTATATACATATATCAATTTTTTTGATGTGGTTTTGTTCTCTGAGCTGGATGGTTAATTTGCGAAGCTTTCATCACCCTACTACGCGACATCTTTAGCGCATACTTCAATTTGAAGTGGGCTTTTAGATTTCTCCACGAGTTTATTAATCATCTCTCCTGGTGACTTTGGACGTGATTGGTTGTTTATGTGTGTTTTCACATCTTCTAGGTTACTTGTATTGGAACTGACTGTTTCTTTGACTTGAACTTTGACCCTTTGTGTGTGAAGTTTCTTTCTTATTGGTTGATAAATTTTGTCTATCTCGATTCATCCAGCTCAGAGAACGAAACCCCATCAAAATCATCCAACTGAGCTACAAATCTTCTCTATCATATATATATATATATCAATTTCAAATTTCATTAGCTGTCTCTTCCTGTGTTTTTTCTTATATCCACATAGACTGCACTAATTATTTTGTCTATTGTTATTGTTATATCCCTCTTTGTCGATGATGCCGGATGACTACCGGGTGAAAGGATCAAATCCATTCACAGTAGCAACACGGTCTTAGCATACCGCATACTACAAACCACATATAATTAATCCCGGCACCACTCCTTTCAGAGTCAAAAAAGCTACGACAGTCGAATGGTGGGGGGACCTACGCAGAAGTTTACCGAAGACCAGGAACCTTCACCTCACAACCTAGAGGCGAGCACAAAGAAATCAAATTGGTTTACACTAGCTCGTAGAAAGACGACATTGGATATTGGATTAGGCTTTGTCGAAGGCGCTGGAATAAAATTGTTTGGCTGACCTTGATTCGCCTGAAGAAGGTGAGGTGGGAATCGTAGAAACGACTTACTGACTTAATCGCCACGTGACTTTAGGTGAAATTGATGTCTACTCCATATGGAGAGGCGTAACAGTGTGGAATTTCTTGTTTTTTGCTAGTTATGTATCACCTATAGGGATTTTATGAGTGTACCTAGGAGGCCCATGCTAATAAGTGATTTGAAATGAACAAATGGTCCTAACAAAGTAGATGCTCCTGGGGAGAAACGAGATTCCTCGTAGGAATTTGCTGCCACTGGTAACTGCCATTATGGTTTATTGTCCATTATCGAAAATCTGGAATTCTGAGGTCACTATTTACTAGGAAATTACTTCCTCTGATTGTGTTCTGCAGTAAATTGGATGCAAGGAATACTTTTGTCTTGTTTTTGGTTATGGCATACCCCGGGGAACTGCCCAAAAATGTGTTCTACTGAACTTATTGTTTTCTCTCTTAAACTACTCTCTTAACCGTTTCTGAACAATAATGCAGTGCTCTTCAAAATGGCGTGTTGTTAATATCGTGGTGTTGATGTTTTAAAGGCCTAGTGGCATCCGATACGGTAGTTCCCAATAAGTCAGTGAAGTGTTAGTAGCTCCCTCTAAGTGGGAAGATTCCACTTACAGATTTTTCATCAAAAGAATTTCTCCACTTAGTTTAATACCCAGTAGGTAATCACAGTATACAAGATTAGTAATACCTTTAACAATAAACATATACGCCACAACCTCTATGGTGTCTACAACTCCTTACTCAACACAAGTTGTCTAGGATCTGCCAATAAAAATCTGTTCCATCTCTTTCGGGGATGTTATATATATATATATATATATCTTCTGTGTTAAAAATTAAACTACACACAATATTTTATTGCTAATGTTATGTGGTAGTCATAAGATCACATATCGTAGAGATTTTGGTGTCTAGTTTACTCAAAGTTTTTGTTACAGTTTAATCATGTATGGGGACAAACGCCCCGGTTCAACCCTTCTCCACTCCTGCGTCAATGTGGAGATGCATCCTTCCAGGATGTTACAAGTATCAAGAATATCAGAAAATCTTCCAGTTTTTCCATCTAAAGCTCTTCGTGCTTCCAGCTGTAAGTTTCACTTTCCTCATTGACTTTATTATAACCTGTAGCTTCAAGTGCACGATTTTTCGCTGGAGAATGGTTGATCGTTGTTGCAGGGAACAAATTGTTTTTATGGAAATATTCAAGATATGTAAATACACAAGTACGTTTTTCTTTAGTGTTCCTTTCGTGGAAGTCGTTTATATAAATGCTTTGCCGCTCTTATGAAGGTCATTTGACTTACCCTAGTAATTTTTGCCTTTTGTTTTCTACTAGCCTCACTCTTCATGTGTAAGTTTTGATCTGCCTGTCAGTGATCTACCACATAGTGCCTCCCTAGTTGGCTTACTTTTCCCGTCGAATGATGCAGAGGTTTCACCTTTGCCTACAAGCTGTTTGGCACTTAGCTCTTGTGGTGGCAATTTGCGCCTGTGGCCTCGATTAACTCGGAACTATGTGCATGTAGATACCGTACTACCAGCACCTATCGGTGGACTGTATGGGGATCAAGCTATTCAACTGGAACATATTCATGTGGTAAGTTCCCTTGAGTAAGAACATTCTTTTACAGTTTATGTTTTGGGAAAATACGACTAATCATAACACTACTCGAGCTTATGTAGTGATGTTATAGCTGTCGTTTCAGTAGTCTAGAGTGACGACAATCAGTGGTGTCCGTTGGGAATGCCTACTGTTAGCGCTTTTATTTAATCTCACTGTATGCGTAGTAATTAACTTGACTAGTTGATTTTGACGTTTTCTTTGATTTGACTTCACACCACAGAAATATGTTTTGGATTCAGACTAGATATAATCCTTCTGGGTAGAAACGCCAATGCGTAGTCTCGTGAGCACTCTGAGGAGAAAATGAATATATTCGATGTGAAACACGCTCGCATCGAGTATAAGATTATGCTACAGGAGTGGTCTGCATTGATTACAAAGTGTAACGGTCGAATGTGCTTACCACTTGTTATGTACTGCTGCTGAGTGAGTTATTGGAGTTTTCCCCGTCGCCAATTATGTTATGTACTCGTCGAGTAGTTAATAGTCCTGACGCGGAAAGAGGGAAAAACTTCAAATTGAAGTATGCGCTGAAGATGTCACCCAGTAGGGTGATGAAAGTTTCGCAAATTAACCATCCAGCTCAGAGAACAAAACCACATCAAAAGAGGGAAATCAGAAGACCACCAGGTTTACGATGATACTTGTATTTTCCAGACAAGGAAAATAAATGTCACACAAGTGTGAGTGAAAGGGTACTTAGATGTACGAATGTGTGTGAACAAGAATGATAAAGTGTACAATGCAAAGTATATATGAAAATGGCTAATACACATGAACCAATAAGATGACGTCTTACCATGATTGGTTGTAATGTCATCTGATAATAAGGTCATACACTGTTTATTTAGTTAGTGGACAGACAAAAGCATAATGTCAGTTATAATGGAATATCGATCCATATACACATAGCAAAATATAATAGACTGTCAAAAACAAAACACACATCATGTGGGTACATATCACCACTTTACCTGTTTGGGGAGTTTATTCGGCCCTAATGAACTGGTGATGAATAGTTAGCACTGGTTGGTATCAGCAGGTGGATAGGTAGCTGTGGTATTGAACTGCCTGCCAAGAAACGTATGTACTTCTCAGTAAGTTACTTTGGGACACGGCCGAAAAAATAAAAGTTATCTTAAAAAGTCACAAATTTCTAACCATAAATGTCTTCACTCAGTTACTCAAAATGAGTGGAGCAACATGCTAAACAATAATAAATTTAATCTCAAACTGTTTGGTAAAGAAAGCTAAAACCAATCAATGAGTTTGTAAAACTTCACTGGTTGAGGTAGCTAGTCTGTCTGTCTGTTTTCGACATAGAACTTTGCACAAATGTGCGGAAGTTCAAGTCGCCACACTCCGTGTAGCACGCGAAGCAAGAGAAGAAAGTACAAGAAAAGCATAATAGAAACAGTGAGCAGAGGTGTGAGACAAAGGAGTAATAAAGAAATACAAAACAGTTTCATTGAAGATCATAAGTCACAGGGAGTGGATGCATCTGCGCCACTGAGAACGGTTTTGAGCCATGTCACCAATTGTTTCCAACCATAGATTTTTACCGTCCCGAGGACCCCAGCCTGGAAGTCTACACCTTTCTACGTGGCTTAGACCAACTGTTGTGGATTTCATTGACTGATGCCAAGTTTTTGTTTGACCGCCGCTAGCTTTTTTCCAGCCTGACCCTATATCCGCTAACATTGCTCGTCGAGGGAGGCGATGGCTTGGCATACGTAACACATGTCCTAACCATCTCAGTCTTTGTAGCTTCACGACTTCGTCGATTGATTTCCCCTGTTTACCTAGAACTCGACGCCTAACCTCCATGTTGCTCACCTTATTATGCCACTTTACACGGGAAATAGAGCGCAGGCACCTATGATCAAAGACAGCTAGTCTTTTCATGTCTTCCACTCTCAGTGGCCAGGTCTCACAACCATAAAGGAGGACGGAGCGGACTGATGAGCAGTACACCCGCCCTTTGGTCGATAGTCGAACATCTCGTCTACGCCAGAGTCGGCGTAAACTAACAAATGCGAAACGAGCCCCTTGTATTCGTGCTGAGATTTCGTCAGAGATCAGCCCGTTGGGGCTGATGGTACTTCCCAAATAAGTGAAGCGGTCAACGTGCTCTACCACTTCACTTCCTATTTTTAAACTAGGCGTCGATGTAGTCCAGTCCTGTAACATCATCTTGCATTTGGCGGGAGCGAATCGCATGCCAAACATTCGTAGATTGCGGCTCAAGGTGTTTAGAAGACTCTGCATTTCGTCAGCGTCTTCGCCTAGAAGGACTATATCGTCTGCATATTCCAAGTCAACGAGATTATTCCCCGGTAGCAAGTCAATTCCTGAGTCGCTGAAGTCACCTAGGGTTAAGTCCATTAACACATCTATGATGAAGTTGAATAGAAAAGGAGATAATGGGCATCCTTGACGGACACCACTGGTCGTCATCAGTTCAGATGACAGCTCGCCGTAAGCCCTCACCTGGCTGTATGAGTACGAGTAGAGTGCCTTAATCAGTGCAATATATTTTCTTGGAATTCCCTTTACAGCCAAGCATCTCCAGAGAACTTCCCGATCGACAGAGTCGAATGCTGCCTTTAGGTCAAGAAATATAATGACTGTTGGACGCCGGTAGGAATGCCTATGTTCTAGAATCTGTCGGAGGGTGAAGATATGATCAATACACCCTCTTCCTGGTCTAAAGCCTGCCTGGCTCTCTCGTGTTTGTGCTTCCCGAGCACCACTCAGTCTACGCATGATTATTGAGCCTAAGACTTTAGATACTATATTAGTCAAGCTAATCCCTCTGTGATTATCACAGGAAGACTTGTCTCCCTTCTTGTATATGGGGATAATCAGTGACTTACACCAACCCGATGGGACTTCTTCTGATTCCCAGACGCTGCCTAGTACCTCAGTTAATCCGGACAGTAAGCTGTCTCCACCGTACTTAAATACCTCTGGAGTCATTCCATCAGGTCCCGCTGCTTTGCCTAGTTTCAGATTGGTGACAGCTTTAGTAACCTCAGTTAGTGACGGAGGACCTGTGTTTATATCCCATTCAGGGAGGTGTTGGATGCTCGGAAGGTTGAGCGTGGCTGTGGGCAAATTAAACTGCTCCTCATAATGCTCTTTCCAACGATCCAGTCGTCTATCCTGTGAGCTAATTATAGTGCCATTTTTTTCCGAGATTGTCTCACTAATGATTTGTCTTCTCCCACCCGTTTCCCTGATGAGGCTAAAGAGTTGCCTGGTGTTGCCTATCCTCGAAGCTTTCTCCATCTCTTTGGCTTTTGTCGCCCACCACTGTTCACGGTCCTTGCGGAGACTTTTCGTAAGTTTCCTCTTGTGCAGCTTTCGCTCCTCATTGAATTCGGAGCTCGCCGGAATAAGTCTTCTAGCATCTATCAGTTCGGATGAGGCGGTGGAGATCCAGAACATATGTTACCCATCTTCTTCATTGGGTAGTGTTAACTGGGATTTAATCAGGTTGGAAAAGAATTAGCCAGGCGTATACATGACTCTTATTCATATCACTATTAACTTCCAGTCTAACCTACAAAGATAAGTGTAGGTTAACTTGGCTCCTCAAAATGCTAAACATCAATGCTTGAAGACTATTGATACCATTACTGAAAAGTATTCACAACTACATTGGTGCATAAAATATGAAATGACACATGTAGAGTAATGGATCTTCAACGATTGGATGGTGAAATTTCCGTGGGTGACACTTCCACTCTTCACGATTGATTAATTTTATGAATATTAAATAAATAAAGAACTATATATATATATATATATATATATGAAATATTTTTTCGTTACCACTTAGAATATATTTTTATTGTCATTTGGCCTATATTTTCATATTCTCCTTTCTTTTCCAGTCCGGTGCATTTGTGGCTGCCACGCGAACAGGCCACCTTGTGCTTATTGACACACGCAATGCTCAGGTTAGTCTTGAAATAAATAAATTGATGATGACTGAATTCAAAAGATTACCTCACTCTTTTATACCACTGAGATTAGTGTTTAGTTTAACTCCTGGTTAACCAGTAGTTTATATTTCATTCCATTTATTATTTGTGAAAGTTCTAATGCATTAGACGTTTATGCATTTATGTACTGTGCCGGATGTAATAATAAAAGTGTCCTGTCTTCTGACATTTTTAGACAGTAAAAACCTACAAATTAAAACTTATTCCACCAACCGTAGTAAAGCTAAGTTAAGACCATTGTGTATTCCCCTCCCCTCCCACCAAGTAAATAGCTAAGAATAAGTGGATACTGCATCATTAATTATCCATACACCCGATTTCTGGTAGACTGATTACACGACAGAATATCACAAAGATGCATGAGGTATTGTAACAATAAGCCAATATTTACAGTTTCTTTTGAAAGTCATTCTTAGAAGTAATCATTCCCAGCTGTTGTAAACCACCACCACCAGCTCTAGTCTAGTCTATATAATAAACTATTTGATTAGAGGTACCTAGCTGTTTATTTCAAGTGTAGACTGGACTACACCGACTCCAAGCTTAGAAATAGGGAGTGAAGTGGTAGAGCACGTTGACCGCTTCACTTATTTGGGAAGTACAGTCAGCCCCAACGGGTTGATCTCTGACGAAATCTCAGCATGGATATAGAGGGCTAGTTTCGCATATGCCAGTTTACGCCGACTCAGACGTTAACGTGATATCAGGATATCGACCAAAGGACGAGTGTACTGCTCATCAGTCAACTCCATCCCCTTTTATGGCTGTTAGACCTGGCCACTGGGAGTGGAAGACATGAAAATGTTAGCTGTCTTTGATCATAAGTGCCTGCGCTCTATCTCCCGTGTGAAGTGATATAATAAGGTGAGCCATATTGAGGTTAGGCGTCAAGTTCTAGGTAAGGAGGGGAAATCAATCGACGAGGCTGTGAGGCTACATCGACTGAGATGGTTAGGACATGTGTTACGGATGCCTAGTCATCGCCTTCCTTGACTGATAGGCAATGTTAGCGGATATAGTGTCAGGCTGGAAAAGAGCTAGCGGCGGTCAAACCAAAACATGGAACCAGTCAATGAAATCCACAACAGTTAGTCTAAGCCAGTCACGTAGGAAGGTGTAGACTTCATGACAGGTTGGGGTCGTCGGGACGGTAAAATCCAATGGTTGGAAACTATTGGTGACATGGCTCAAAACCGTTCTCAATGGCCAACGCAGATGCATCCACTCCTTGTGACTTGTAATTTCCAATGAAACTATATTGTTCTTCGTTATTACTATTCCTTTGTCTCACACCTCTGTTTACTGTCTCTAATATGCATTTCTTCTATCTTCTTCTCTTGCTTTGTGTGCTACAAGAAGGGAGTGTGGCGACTTGAACTACCGCACATATGTGCAGAGTTCTATGTCGAGAACAGACAGACAGTAGACCACCAACACTCGGTATTTCACTATCAGCAAGGTGGTCCAAAGTGTAGGTTTCCTTAACTTTATTCCATTTTCAGCTTTTGTTTCCCAGTTCCTTGTGTGACAGTCTTGTGTTGTACCTCACTAACTCAAACACTCAACTTTCAACTAATGGGTTACCAGTGTGGGTCCTGCTTCATCGGCTGAAGTTTGGTTAGCAAAGTAGTATCATTGGCCTTAACACAATAGATGTTTCTAAATCTATATGTCTGTTTGAGTATTGTAAACTAAACTGATATGAAGTTAAAAGAAATCAGAGTTACTGCAGTAAACATCATACACTTTAGTGTTTCTCAAAAGGGAAATAAATAAGGAAATATTTAATCACATAGTATCATGAAAAAAGGTAAAATACGCAGTTTGCAAGTTTTAATATTCCACTTAAGGTCCCCGAAGAAAGTCTACTCAGTGTTCTTGTAGAACGGTGCCTCTATTAAAATATGAAGTGTAAATAGTTGGATAATTGCATCTTGGTTCGTGCGCTAGTTAACGGGCCTCATTTTATGTTTAATCCTCTGCAAGTATATATTTATCAATAGCTCCACAATTTTTTAACCTGTTCTCAAGACACGATAATTTAATCACACTTTTTAACAGGATGGCGTAAAGACTCATTTGATTACGAGTACTAATGATGGTTGTATGCATTCAAAAGGAATATTATCTGGTTTAGGCCGCCGTGTGTCGAATTTCTTCAACTTAGTTTCTTCAACCACAAATTCTGGATTAATTAAATCGATGCCAGCTCGTGGTGGTGAAAACTTTGTAAGTTGTTTTTTTAGTACATCTTTTTTCATTAATTTGAGATTTTTCGATATTAACCAAAGAAATTAGGTAGTGGGCATAATACACAAACGTAAATTGTCCATATGGCATAGTAGATGTCTGAATTTTTATCACGAATTAGTATCAGTTAGAGAACCATTGGCAACCAGAGAGTACTGAACAGCTGCTGTTTCATGCTAGTTCGGCAGTCTTCAGAGGTACACACACATGACTTCTACTGGGTGGCGTAGATGTATAATGGTTAAAACCTCCTCTTTAAAAGTTTCTAATGAACCTTTAATGACTGAAGTCGATCATAATTAACCGAACGACTGTCATATGGTCATGGGCATATTATTAAAGTGTATCTCATTTTGTTTCATTTCCAGTGATGTATATTTCCCACTTGATGGTAATATCCTTTTACTGTGATGGCAATAACTCAAGAGTAGAATTTAGACACTGTGGTAGAATATGATTTGATATTAAGTTTATTTTATATATAGCATAATAACTGGATGCAGTTTCGAGCACAAATTATTGCTCATAATCATATCAGTGTATTCATACGACTTTCTAACTCGCCGTGTATAGCCCCCCGCCTCCTTCGTTTTTATATCGCAATCTTTACTACATTCGGTTTACATGTTGCATCATTCCTATTGCATATATTTGGTATTGACTCAATGGATAAAGATCCAGTGATTAATCCCTCTCTCCCTATCCACCTACCTTATCATTACTGTAACCCTATCCTGTCTAGTGGCGTAATTACGCACACCCACACGATTATGAGCAACAGGTTGTACCCAAAACGTCATCGAGTTATCAGTACTGTATCACTATGCGATATCGAATAAACTTACTAATACGGAATTATGTGCGTCGGTGGTTCGGCGTTAGAACGCTCGCCAACCACTCACATGGTTCGATTCCTGGTTGACACACACACCTAAACCTCTCCAAGCTGGTGGTAAGGCCTATAAAAAGGGAAGGGTTGGGCATAAAACTAACAACCCCACGCGGTAAAAATTGAACCACTGCTACCGAAACTTCAAAGGTGAATCTTGAAGCCCTATGTTCCACTGGGAACGTAAAGGGAAAAAAAATAAAATCATATCAGTTAGACTTACCAGTCGTATTTGTAAACCTAATAAATATTCTTCATCTTGCACTTAAAGGTCCTGTGTGTGTGTATTTATTTGTGTTTTCATTCGTTTCATTCGTAGGTGTTTCTACGTTTAATCACGTGTATGTCGTCAAACGATTGTGAGAAATGCTTCTGTTTTGCGTTGTATAAAAATCAACTGGATGTTTGGTCAGTTGATTATAATTTAAACTGTGAAGTAAGAAGTTACAAAATTTTGTTATTATTATTATTATTACTCATAATTTTTACATAAATATTTAAATTATCACAGTTTCTGTTCATTACAATATAAACGGAGCTTGGTTAGGTGCTTATTCAAGAGGATACAATGTATTTATACAGCTTATCCTATAGATGAGGACGAGGAGGAGGAGGATCAAATATTGACGAATGTACAGGTGAAAAATGGGTATCCTTTGAAATCTTTAAACCGGTGTAAAGGTCAGTTAGTTTCATAGGCCTAAAGTGTACTCCGTCCCAGAAAAAGATGTTTATATGACATCACCTTACAAATGATAAATAAATAGTAAGATTTTAGGACACAGACTAAAGTGTATCATCCATACAACTTCACTATCCAACCCAGCCGAAAATATGCTCTACAGCAATTCTCAACACTGCACAAGTGATTATGTTACATCCTATACTATATACCGACTTACATGGGTGTGTGTGTGTGTGGCCGCCGATACATAGGGAGGAGTAATCTCGCACCTTGCGGGTGTGGATGAGAGAACATATACCCTAATGGTCAGAAAAACAAGTGAATTATGAAACCTAAATAAACGCAGGTAACAGACGACTACCAACTTCGTCTATAGCAAAAACACTTAACTGACGTGAATCATAGGATTAATATCAAAACAGCCTCTCTAATAATGCTATCCAAATTTGTGTTTTTTTATCCTGTTGAGAGAATGTTCTTGTTTATCTGTTTCCTTTCTAATAATCAAATATAAAGAGTTTTGTGTTACAATATTATCATTGGTAGTGTATTTGTTTCTTCAATAACAACCAATTAAACGAGGAAAACAGTTTACTTTTCAACTAAATACCCTCGTCAATGGCTCTCCTCTAATACAAACAGAAATTTATGGCAATTTTAGTACAATAGAAAAATTTACTAATCTAACAGTGGTGAGTCTGTTAACTTCAACATGTTAAGCGAATGATAATTCACCGAGAAAAGTACTGCAACAATTGAAGAGTGTTTCTGGTTACATAATTTCTAATTTTGAGAAGTAAGGCGTATAAATGAGTGGTCAAATGAATGAGAAACATTCCTGCTTCGGTCTGGGCATCTGGGCAGTATCTAAACCATCACACAAACTATGAGATTCCGTGTGACGCTTGTCTTGCTGGCCTATAATGTACTGTGCGTCGGTGGCACAGTGGTTGGGATTCTCGCCGACCATGCACATGGTCCGGGGTTCGAGCCCACGCCGACGCACACCTGATATCTATGGTCGGCCTGCGAATTTTGGGCTACCGATATCCACGCTGAAAATTCCACACTTGTACTAAAAAACATACGGTGTGGAATCAAGCTGTAATCAAAAAAAAGGTTGGGTCTTAATAAATGATGAATATATGAGAATCATTAAAGATGTGCGTCGGTGACATAGCGGTTAGGACGCTCGCCGACCATGCATATGGTCCGGGGTTTGGTCCCCGGCCACCGACGCACTCCTTTACCTCGCTAAATCAGAAATAATGCTGGTAAAGAGGAGACGTTGGGCATGAGGCCAAAAACCCCATCCTGTAAAATAGACACTACCACAGAAACTTCAAGCCACTAGCTTGAAGCCCTATGTTCCAGTGGAGAACGTGAAGGAAAAAAACTAAACATGAAGTAGGCAGGATAGTTAGATTATTAAAATGATATTAATTTGTAAATAGCAATTAGGGAAGGGAAGAATTGCCAGTTTTTATTACTTCTGCAAAGATGGCCAGTGTGACGAAAGTATCTCTATATATTCCTATGGCTTCTGTTGTATGGCAGCAGATAAACACGCTAAGCAAGATTGGGATTCAATAAATAGATCTAGTAGATTCTTTTTTAACACCGGATGTGTGATGAGTATCCATCAGGTGGGATATAATAGAGCTACGAATAGACTATGTTCGCGTCTTTCTTAAACATTCAGGATAATGTTTGGAAATCTAACGATAAGCCTATTTGATTGTACGCCTGATGTATTAAAATAGCTATATATTTATAGTAAAGTAGAATTATTGGCGAGAATTTATTTGGAAAGTAAATATTTCTTCGCTCGATATGCTGTCTTCTAAATGTCTAAACGAAGATGTTTACTATTTACATTATTGTCATTCTAGGGATTTGTAAGTTTATTTTCTTTTCAAAAGTTAGTTCGTGGAGATTGGATTTGTTTCAATTCCGATCATGAGTTGATATCAGTTAGAGAACTATCGAAAACCAGGGAGTACTGGACAACTGTTTTCTTCCTAGTTTAGGGCTCTTCAACAGTATGCACCCACCTCAGGGGTTTCAACCCAAGGCCTTCCGGTTACAAGGCAAGCTCGTGGATAATTCAGCCACTGATACTCAACTCAATGGCCAGTCTATGAGTTCTAACTTTACCAATTCGTGATTTTAGTGCAACCAACCGCCAATGTCATCGATGAGTATCTATCCTCACCCCCAACCGAGTGGACCCCACTGGTCACTACGTTTCACCTTATATCGTCAAGATTAAATGCCAATTAAAGATCGTATGCTTAAAAGTTATTTGGTTGGTGCCCACCCTTTTAAAAAACCACAAAACACAGAACCAAATAAATGTACAGAACCTACTCTTTCCTTTTTTTCTCACTACGCTGTCTGCAGTAGGCTTTTTTCACCAAAATATCTTACAGCTAGCTGGTAAGAGATGACATAAGTAGTTAGTATCACATCTACATTTGGTGTATGTTTCAGTTTTCTTGTGGAAAGTAGATGCCCAACTCAGAATACTTACATACGGTTTTGGTAGTAGACTGTAAGACACCCCTAGTATATTTTTATGTGGTTTTGTTTACAGTACAACCTATTATAAATTTATTGAAGTTCATTTGAATTTTAGGAAACTTTAGATAATACGTGGTATATTTCACTTTTTATTTCATTGACAAAAGATTTTGTATCAAAATCTGTAACTTAACAGGAGCAATTAAAAGAATTCCTCCACTATTCGCCTATATATATATATATATATATATATATATAAAGTGGTTCAGTGCAGAGGACAGTCTGAGATTATCTGAGTCCTATCGAGCTGATATGTGACTGATTGGTTCAATCATTCGACTTTCAGCCAATCAGCTTTGACATCGCATGCGGCTGCGCTTACTTTAGTCTAGGCAGCTTGGTATTATCATCAATCCTTACACAAAATACATGGCCTGTAACCTGGAATATGAAAAGTGTGTTTCGAGTAACTGAAGTTCTCACTGTCATTCTGACTTGGAAAAACTGACAGACTTGTTATAAAATTGTTGGTTTTCAGGGATTTCATCATGTACTGATATCGGTTAGAGGACCATTGGAAAACCTGGGAGTACTGGACAACTGTTTCCTCCGTCTTAGTTTTGGGACTCTTCATCAGTATGCACCCACCGCTACAGTCCGAACCCAGGATCTTCTGGCTAGCACGCAAGCTCTTGGGCCATTAAACCTTGTAACTAGGAGGTCCTTGGTTCGAACCTCAGTGAGTGCGTACCGATGAAGAGTCGCAAACTAGGATGGAGGAAACAGGTGTCCAGTACTTCGAGGTTTTCCAATGGTCTTCCAACCCATGTCAGTTCATAATGAAATCCTGAGACTTGTTATACATTTTCAAATGTTATTATTCATCGATATTGTACGTGTGATATAATTACTCCATTTTATAATCGCTTGTCTACTATTCTCTTTCTGTCCGTCAAGGATGCCCATTATCTCCTTTCCTATTCAACTTCATCATAGATGTGTTAATGGACTTAACTCTAGGTGACTTCAGCGACTCAGGGATTGACTTGCTACCGGGGAATAATCTCGTTGACTTGGAATATGCAGACGATATAGTCCTTCTAGGCGAAGACGCTGACGAAATGCAGAGTCTTCTAAACACCTTGAGCCGCAATCTACGAATGTTTGGCATGCGATTCGCTCCCGCCAAATGCAAGATGATGTTACAGGACTGGACTACATCGACGCCTAGTTTAAAAATAGGAAGTGAAGTGGTAGAGCACGTTGACCGCTTCACTTATTTGGGAAGTACCATCAGCCCCAACGGGCTGATCTCTGACGAAATCTCAGCACGAATACAAGGGGCTCGTTTCGCATTTGTTAGTTTACGCCGACTCTGTCGTAGACGAGATGTTCGACTATTGACCAGAGGGCGGGTGTACTGCTCATCAGTCCGCTCCGTCCTCCTTTATGGTTGTGAGACCTGGCCACTGAGAGTGGAAGACATGAAAAGCCTAGCTGTCTTTGATCATAGGTGCCTGCCTTCTATTTCCCGTGTAAAGTGGCATAATAAGGTGAGCAACATGGAGGTTAGGCGTCGAGTTCTAGGTAAACAGGGGAAATCAATCGACGAAGTCGTGAAGCTACAAAGACTGAGATGGTTAGGACATGTGTTACGTATGCCAAGCCATCGCCTCCCTCGACGAGCAATGTTAGCGGATATAGGGTCAGGCTGGAAAAAAGCTAGCGGCGGTCAAACAAAAACTTGGCATCAGTCAATGAAATCCACAACAGTTGGCCTAAGCCACGTAGAAAGGTGTAGACTTCCAGGCTGGGGTCCTCGGGACGGTAAAAATCTATGGTTGGAAACAATTGGTGACATGGCTCAAAACCGTTCTCAGTGGCGCAGATGCATCCACTCCCTGTGACTTATGATCTTCAATGAAACTGTTTTGTATTTCTTTATTACTCCTTTGTCTCACACCTCTGCTCACTGTTTCTATTATGCTTTTGTTGTACTTTCTTCTCTTGCTTCGCGTGCTACACGGAGTGTGGCGACTTGAACTTCCGCACATTTGTGCAAAGTTCTATGTCGAAAACAGACAGACAGAGATTCTCTTTCTGTCATTTATCAGCTTTTTAGTCTAAAGTCTTTTATAAGTCTAGAAATAAAATGGTGTATAATAATTAATTAATTAATAATTTATTTTGTTTTAGTTGTGTGATGTATATACTATTGACAAATTGATCAACTCATCATCATCATCACTTGAAGACGGTGATTCAGACTGGGAAGCTGTTGATTTTGCAATACAATCAAATCGTTATGCATCATCTACTGCTGATCAAACTTTAGCCTATATTCTCCTAAGTCGTATCGATGACCAACAATCACCCAGAGAATTACGTCTGTTAACAGTTAAATTTAATCGAATTGAATCATCCTTATGCTTTACAATTAATGCTTCTGTTGGCGTAGAATATCCTTTTTATGAAGATAGATTATACACATCGGAAGAAACAAATATTCAATTTTGTTTACCAGCTGATTCAACACCTCAATCATTGTATCCATGTTTATTAGGCTGTTTATATTGCCTTCGAACTGGACAAGTTTTTATCATTGAAGGTAAGTGTCTGAAACTTTTTTCATTTTAGTATATATATATATATAATATTAGTATCAAGCACCATGTGTTGTTTATCCTAAAACTAATTCTGAGAAGCTATATTATTGTGATTAGTCCAAAGATTGATTTTGTTTGGTCGAAGTGTTTCGAACGGTTGGTGATGGATCCGAGTCTCGGGTGTAATACAATCACTCACTGGAGATACAGGTACATTTACCCGACGAGCCCCAAATAAGACGAAACAGAATTCCTTTGTAGTTGTCATCAACCAAAGTGTCTAGAGATATTTGTGAAGCTTCCCATCAATTGACATGGTAGAAAATTTTTTACTTATCCCCTACCAGGAGCAGTGAAGTCTTTAACCGTTGATGTAGGCCATAGAGGGAGGTGTACGCTCTGTCTTGAGTCCTTGAGATGCTAAGAATCAATGATTGGAAAGTGTGGGGGACGTGACTCAAAATGATTCCCAATGGAACATATCTTTTGAATTCTGATAATCATTGCTTTTCATGCAGTTATTCTTTCTCTTTAACATTTTTGTTCATACTAGTTTCATTACCTGTCTGTTCTTTACTTTTGTGTGTGTGTGTGTTCGTGTGGTTTTGGAAGTGTGACAAGTCGAAGTGCTGCACTTTTGTACAGAGTTCTACACTGACTATTCAGTGAATTGATGATTATTATTGTAAACCTCATCGAGTAATTATACATTGTCAATTTTGTAGTTAGACATTACCGTTTGCATTTAATACGCTTTAAGAGGTAGATATCAGTGATGATGATGACGCTGATTGTCAACGCTGACGCCTATTACCTCCTGCTGGTTTATACTCCTCGTAACACTTGGTTATAATTTGTTGAAAAAAGGGTACTTAGTTTGATTTAGTGACTACTATATGGAGTTCTTGGTTGCACAGTGGTTAGGACTCTCGCCGACCATGCACATGGTCCGAGGTTCGATCCCCTGCCGACGCACACCTGATATCAATTGTCGGCCTGCAAAATTTGGGCTACCGATATCACAAGCTAAAAATTCCATACTTGTACCAAAATATATATATATATATATATATATTATATATATATATATATAGTGTTGTAATTCAATATTTAAAGACTGAATGACGATTTCAACGCAAAACTTTGCTCATCAGTGCAGCAGTTCATCTTCCCACACTCCACAAAAGTAGAGAAAAAGTTCAAAAGAACAATAATGTATGAGAGAAAGAAAACATGGACTTAATGATTCTGGAGATAATAAATAGTGAGAATGCATCTGCATCATTGAAAACGATTTTGAACCATATCACTAACAGTTTCCAGTCATTACTGTTGAGTGTCTTGCGGATCCCAACCAGAAAGTCTACACCTCCTTACATGAATCAAACTAATTGTTAGGGTCTTCATGGACTGATGCGAGGTTCACTATTCCCAACCTAATCCTATGTGAGCTAATATTTCTTGTCGAGGAAGGTAATAGGTTATCATGAATGAAACATGTCCTAATCATCTGAATCGATGTAGCTTAACAATCTAATCGATTGACTTGCCCTTCTTACCTACCACTTTATGCTCAACCTCGAAATTACTCGCAATATTATACAATTGATATATCCTTATCACATATTTACACATCAACGTACATCTATAAAACGTGATAAAGAAGCGAAAACAATATAATCCAAAGTTATTAAAATACTATTAGGCGATTGTAGAAATTTTCAAAAGAATAATTACTGGACAAAGAATATTCTTTTCGATAGCCTCTTCATCATTAGGTTCTACAGTTATATACATATAATACTGAATGAATTACTTTTACGAGTTGATCACAGATTGATATCAGTTAGAGAACCATTGAAAACCAGGGAGTACTGGACAGCTGCTGTTTCATCCTAGTTTGGGAATCATTGGCAGTACGCACCCACTGGGATTCGAGCCCAGGACCTTCCGGTTACAAGTCAAGCTCGTATACCATTCAACCACTGAGACCCGATGTCACGTGTGTGGATGGATGTCCCACCAACGACAATGGTTGGGGGCGCGCTAAATCACGAATTGGTAGAAGTTAGAATTCACGAGCCATTGAATCGGGTCCCAGTGGCTGAATGGTATACGAGCTTGACTTGTAACCGGTAGGTCCTGGGCTTGAATCCCAGTGGGTGCGTACTGCCAATGATTCCCAAACTAGGATGAAACAGCAGCTGTCCAGTACTCCCTGGTTTTCAATGGCTCTCTAATCAGTGATCCATTCGTAAAACATAACTAATCCTTACAAACCAATCTATAGAAAGAATGAATTACTGTTATTTACAACATTAATGTTTAAATAACACTGATAATAATAATATCAATGGATCCCTACAAACTAATTCTTGAAAATTACTTTGTTATGTTATTCTTTTTTTCCAATATTCTTTTTTCTGTAGTTTTAACTGGACAGATAATTGGAAAATTAGAATTTTCACCAAATTTACCAAATAAACCACCTTGTCCACAATCGTTAATTAGTATTGGCAGTTCAGATATGCATAGTTTATTCATCTTTTTAACTTGTCAATGTGGTCTGCTCACATTAACACCATGTATAGATAGTGGTAATAATAATGCTGGCACTATAAATGAAGTAATGGATGCGATTCCATCATCAAGTGGTGGTATATCAATGATAGATGTGGATCAAGCTAGTTTGGTTAGTTCAGAAGTCAGTTTAAATAGAAGTATGCATAAATCACGTTCTAGTATTGTCAGGTAAGTAATAATAATAATAATGCCATGTTTGTTAAGTGGCTTTAATGTTCATGATATTTAAATATTTAATTTCTTTTTATTGAATTGGATTTTTTTTTTGATTTTCCCGTCGATTGATTGGACATCCAGCTGACGAGTCCCAAATAGGACGAAATGCGCATCCTGGATTCCACTGCTAGTCACCATCTACCAATTGTATCTTACTTTCTTTTTATTTACTTTTTCTGTGCAGATGACATATACATACCTTGAGTAGTCCTAATAATAATTACAATAACGGCTTTATTCCAAACATTCTTGATGCATTATGGGATTCTCAGTATATAATACAATATTGTATCTCTTGAATGGAAATATAGGTGTTTGGCATGCGATTTGCTCCCTATCAAATGCTACAGGTCTGGTCTGTATCAACTAGTTTAGAGATAAGGAGTGATCACTTCACGTATTTAGGAAGTTGCATCAGCTGTAATGAACTGATTGCTGACGAAATCTTAGCGCAAATATAAGAGGCTCGAGTGGCTAGCTCACGTCATTTCTCGAGTGGACATAGCAGCCTGCTGTCCATCAAAGAACGTATGTACTCCTCAGCAGTTCACTGTCTTTTTTTTGTGGCTGTGACATGTATCCGTTGAAAGTGGAAGACTTCAAATGATCAGCTGTCGTTGGCCATTGTTGTTTGCGGTCTACATCGGGTGCTAAGTGGCATAATGTGATTAGTAATACTGAAGTTAGACGTAGACTGCTAAGTAAGAAAGGCAAGTCAGTCGATGAAGTTGTGAAGCTGTGTCGAGGAAATTGGCTAAGACACGTGTTACGCATGCTGAGCCACTCACTGCCTTCGTCGCCAAGCAATGTTAGCTGACATAGGATTTGGTTGGCAAGGTGCTAGGGGTGGTAAAATCAAAACATGGCACCAATCTATGAAGTCTTTGACTGTTAGGAAGTGTAGACTACCTGTGTAACAACAGAAGACAAGGGCTAGGCAACAAATCGTTTATTTAGGAAATCAACAAATATTTATAGATTTTCATGTACATTATTATAGATTATTGTAAGCAAACAAACAGTCTTCTGATTGGCGGTTTCTCACTGAAAGTTAATCTTTCATCTCTTTGTGATCGTTTCTTGAAGTTCAGATTATCTATCTGCAAATTGTATCCGCCTACGCAAAGTCTGCTGTGATTGGCTATTGACTCAGTCTTTGTTCTTATTTTTCTCATGAACAATGTTGGGGACGTACACATTGACGTAAATTACTATCTACCAATTTTGGCCAGCAGCTAGCCCTCACCACACCTGGTTGGTGTCGTCTGGATGCCGAAAACTAATGGTTGGAGGTTGTAAGTGGTGTGTCTCAAAGTCGTTCTTAATGGTGCAGACGGATTCACTCATTATTGTCCTTCACATCCATCAAATTCTTATCATTCTTCATATATTTATTCTTCCTCACGTAAATTTCTGCCCATTATAGTTCCTTTGAATTTTTATCCACCTTAGTGTGTTTCATGTGAAGTATGGCAACTTGAATTACTGCACTTCTATGCAAAGTTATTTGTTGAAAACTGAGTCATTGTAGAGTAAAATGTATTCTAACGAATGAATGGAACGTATTTCAAGTACTTTTCAAGAATAAGATCTGTTGTTCTTGTCGTGCTAAGGAGTCGCGTCTAGGATCTCCATCGGTCTTCAAATTAGTAGCCCGTCATTTTGCCTAGATTCTCATTTCAGCTTCAATCATCATCCATTAGGGTGCGAGACGTGATGATGCTTTTGTAGTATAATTTGTGTAAGGTAGAACCAGAGTAGGCAATGCTGACCCTGGGTAAGAATAGTCTTGCTCACTTCTTTTTGCTAATTGGCATATTAGAAATATAAATTTTGTATTTCGCTCCTTTGTCTTTTGTGAAGAAAAATGTCACCTAAAATAAATTCAGGTTGGCCAGATATGGAAGCAGCCTTGTTAAAATCTCTCACTGTTGATCTGAGCTATGCATTAAAGCATAGTTCAATTCTTTAAGTTTGTCGCATCAATAATTGAAGATTCTCATTTGCGTCATATAGTCCAAAGCTGACCAAACAGAGGAAATCTCACTAACCTTTGTCGCATTATTCTCCTCACTTTTATTAAAACAGAAACTTGGCACATTATGGGCACCAGGAGATGTGTCACTCAAAATTTTATAACATGTGCGAGGTCTGAGATATTGCCCAGACGTCCAGACCAAAGTAGGTGGTTTTTCTAAGGGGCCATCCCCGAAGCATTTGAAGTCTGATCTACAAGGCAGGGGAGCAGCGTCAGGAGCTGCATTTTTGGTGACTAAAAAAGGTTCATGCGCGATTCGATATGTTCCGATTCCACAGCCCATGTACACCACAGGTTTGGAAACCGGCATTTTGGAGCTCGCTTAGGCAGGCTACCATGCCCACTGGTCCGGTTGTAAGCTCCAAATGTTTACACTCACACTTTTACTTTTGAGAGGAACAACCCTGCCAATTGACGGCAGTGAACAGGACTTACCTGGTAGAGGCTATAGACATATGACCACATGAGAGTGTTTCGAGAGGAAAACTGAAGTCTACCCACCCTCGGCCGCACTAAGTCGTTTATGGAGGCCTGTCCTATTTCAATTTAGCATCAGTATGTTGCCATTTAACTTCTGCCTTACTGTTTTGCTAGAAAGTGTAAGTGCTTGAATTAATGTACTCGTAATTAAGTTACAACAGTTGCTTATTTGTTCTTATTTGTATAACGCAAATTATTAGTAAATATTATAATTTATTTCAGAAGTGAACTATACCACTGTTAAAACTTATAACTTACCTTTATCATTATGCTCTCTATTTCATTTTCAACTCCTGTCCTTTCTAGCTGTCCTACAATATTGTCTCAAAAGCATCATTCTGAACCTGATTTTTCAATTATTGTCCATACAGTAGATGAAAAACGTTTAAAAGTTAACACTATGTTCACAGCTAATACCTATATTATATCATTGGTTGGTGAATCATTTGATAAACCGATTAAACTATCTCCTATGGATCGTTTATTTGTTGCTCTGTGCGAAGTTGCACGTATATACTGGATGGGATTTAAAGTACGTATTTATTGTCGCTTACAGTTTTGTTTATTTATGAAATTATGATAAGCCACAGGTTCAAAAGTAGCTTCATACATTGAGGTTTAAGCAAATCTTCTTAAGGTATATACCGCCCGTTTGCAATGCAGATTTGTGTAGTTGGTTGTTAATTTCGGATTACACTACCACGAAGTAGCAGCCATCTTTGAAATGATTCATTCATTTTTAGTTAAATATTATCACCTCATGATTGGATTATTTTTAAGGAAATCTTTTATCTTGATTTCATAAAATTTCTTAGTTCTTGCCTAATCGTTAGCTGCTATTAGCTGTAATGGCTGAGATGAATATTCCTCCAGGTTTTATCATGCTGGAAGCAGAGGTTACAATAAAGCAGTTGTCATCATAGTGTAATTTGTTCATCCTATTTGGAGACTTGACGGCGAATGAATACTGTTTGTGGAAAGGAGCGTAACAGAAGCAGTGAGATGTTTGCCTCTGATAATCAGCTAGCCAGGTGTACCACTTTCTTACTTTGTTGAGAAGGAGCTAAAATATGGCGGTCTCCAAAGTTGTACGTCTTGATTTACCTTGTGTTGGTCAACAACTGGCAGTGAATTCTTCGTACAGGCACAAATGCTGTAACCAGTCTCAAGCAGTTATTTCCTGAGATATTGATCATACAACATTATTAGTATTTTTCTGTTTAAATCACTTTATGAGGAAATCATTTTGAAGCTGAGAAATACCAAAAAACCTACATATTTCCATTAGTACGTAGATTTTCGTAAAGTTAAACTACATGGACTCAATACAAACGAGCGCACCAGTGACATCTAAACAGTTATTCAGAGTTTGTAATGAATACGTTCAAGCGGAGAATGGTTCATCCGGAGAAGCGCCTTAAACTAAACCCTAGCTTCAACATAACCATAACCTTAAACTAATCTTAACTCCAAAGAGTAGTCATTTGGATTAGTGTCGACAGTGTTATAAAACAACATGGAGTTATTCTTACAACATGTTAAAAGATGTGCCATGTCGGTAATTATATGATAATTACGAGTTCGATTATTTCTGACCACACAGCCCACTAAAATGAAGATTTAAGACCGACTGGTCTGTGTTGGTGAGAATAATTTGTTTTTATTGTACATAAGTAGGGTTAAGTAGAGATATTACCCGCCTCAGGAAGTTAAGCTTGAAATCAACCAATCATACTGGTTGCATAAGGTTGGTTTTCTCAGTTGTGTAATATCATTGTAATAATAATCCTGCCTTGACCCAATGGTCTATTCTGATTTGTTCTCACCCAACAGTGTGTTGATCCGATTCTAGCCACTTCCTATCAAAATGGTTTCCAACTTGATATTTTTCACTTTTTTAAACATTTTTTGTGAAAACTAATTTCGCTTTTTTCAAGCATTGGTCTTGTAGGGATTTTGCTTGATTGGTTGGAGGATTTCATCATGAGCTGACATCAGTTAAGAACCGTTGGAAGGTACTGGAGGTACTGGACAGCTGTTCCCTCCGTCCTAGTTTGTGAATCTTCAGCAGTGTGCACCCACCACAAGGTTCAAACCCACGACCTTTCGGTTACAAAGCGAGCTAGATCATTAGGCCAGTGGGACCCAATCCAATGGCTAGTCCATGAATTCTAACTTATGTCAATTCATGACATAGCGCGACCACTTCGCAATATCTTCTTCGATGAGTAACTGTCCTCACCTTCAACCTGCTGTACCCTACCGGTTACGGCCATTGGGTCGGGTCGCAGTGGCTTGATGGTCTACGAACTGGCTTTGTAATTCAAGAAGGTACTGGCCTGGAACCCTGGTGGTGGGTGCATACTATTGAAGAGCCCCAAACTAGGACAGAGGAAGCAGCTGTCCAGTACTCCCTGGTGGTTTTCCAATGGTTCTCTAACCGATGTCAGCTCATGATAAAGTCCTCTAACTAATTTCGCTTTTGCATTAATGCAATTCTCCGGTTCAAGGCTACTGATGTGTGTACTGTGGTTCGTTTAAGACTGTTATAGTTTAACTTCTACAGTTTTCTTTTTGTGTTCATCACCCACTTTCACCTCGTCACTAATTGAATAAAAGTGTAAACAGACGAGTTTTATTCATCACTAATTTTATTATCATCTCTAGTTTCATTAAAATTTAAAACTTCGACTTATCAAATACTAATATTATTTCATGTTTTCTTTATTTTATTTTTTCTACAAAATTCTCATAGGAACAAACAATAAACTATATGAAATCTATTCTCCATGATCATCTGCTAGTAGTCATCTATCCTTAGTATATTTTCGTTTAGCTAAACGTATTCTCAATGAACATCCAATATCATCTGATGCTCGTTGGCAATGGTTACATAGACAATTATCAACAATTATTGATTCAATGCCTATATCTAATCTACATTATCTTGAATTAGAAGGTTCTTCTAGTTTTCAGTATATTGTATCTGCTTTACATAACAGTAATAATAGTCATATAGGAGACGAAGGAAGTACAGATGCTACTTTATTATTACCGATATCACGTTTATGCGCACGATTAGATGCATTGCATAATTTACAAGAATTATGGTTATTATTATATAATATATGCTGTGAACAATCAAATCGTTACTTGAATACAAACTTTGTAACAACAGTAAAATTAATTGATGTCCCGAAATATTTAAATATTTTATTATCTACAACATCTGTCAACGAAGATGATACTGAGACAACAACAACAACTACTACTACTAATAGTGATGGGAATCGTTTAAAATTGAGAAAAACTTCAACAAATAATAGAAGTAAGAATAAATTATATCATGAATTACGTAGTCTTATGAATGAACATTCATTTACTACAAATATTGAATCATATCATCGTCGTCACCGTTCTCGTCGGCATAGTGATGGTGATAATGATGATATTGCAGATGATGATGATGTTGACGCTGTTTTGATGAAGGCAATGATGGTGATGACATGCCAGCAGTTATGAATACATTTCCAAATTCAAGATATGCATGTTGTTCACCTGAATATGATCAATTAGTTGAAGATTGTGCTGGTCGTTTATTGAATTCATTAGATTTTGAAAGTATTATTAAAGCTGCTGATGACTGCCCTATGGATAACAGTGTCAATTGGGCTGAAACGCATATTTTATGCGGATTACATATTGCTGGAGAATTAATTGAATTTGGTAAAGCTTTACAAAATAAATTAGCTAAGTAAGTGTCTATTTTATGCGGGATTTTTTTCTAATAGTAATAATAGTTAGAATAATAATTATAATCAATTTTATGATGTAGACCGAGGTTTCCCTGCCTATCTGATCAGTCAATCAACCAGTGTTACTCAACAATCATTTGCAATTGCATGCAGCTGAGAATGAGCCAGATCTATTGTGTAAGAGATGTTATACAACCCGGAGTTGTTCGAACCTCGGTGCGTGGAGCGGGGTTCGAGTCTGTCGCCAACTATTTGGAAGTCAAGTGCCTAGACCAGTTAGTCAGATCGGCTAACCCACTAGCACTTGTCATCAAGATCTGTCTTCCATATTGAGATAGCTAATGCTCTCGGGTCAATGTTTGTCAAAAATAAAGTGCATGTACGCATAGAGCTGAAATTTGACATTTTATACTAAGGATTCGACCGATCCAACGGTTAGATGTATAGAATATTTAATTGTGTTATCAAATCAGTTATGTTCATCTTATTGCCTACCTTCTCTCAAACCGATAAAGCACAGAATAAATTGTAATATTGATGTTAAGTGTTTTAGTAGGTCGTTTGAAAGACCTAAGCATCTGCATTTCACACTTTTTATTTCTCATTATGATTTATATGGGAAATTCAACCCGAATCCCCGCTGACTTCGTGTAGCCGCTAATAATGAGACGTTCAATTATGTGACGCAGGATGAAACAGAGATGAAGTGGACATAAACTGAGGAAGCCGCTGAGTAATATTACGCACTATGTCATGACTCGAGTGGCAATCTTTCAGGAAACAACCAGTTGGGCGTTGGTCTGAAGATGACATAGAGAAAGTCGTGTGAGGAGAAAATAAAGACTTACGGACAATCGTGAAACCAACTGAGAAAGACTGCATGGAACAGAGTGAAGTGAAAATGTGTTACTGAAGCTCCATGTTCTATTGGAATCCCAAGGGAATAACAATAACAAGTGATGTGATGATCGAAGTTTTAGTTGTTGCTGACGAATTCACTTGGATGAATTTCTCAGTCTAGTCACTTGACAATCTACTATATTCTGATATAGGACGACTAGCGTACAATCTACATGAAGCCTTGAACTTGGTCCCAAATAGATGTAACATTTAAAGTAGGGTAACTGTAACTGACATGCTAATAACAATTTAAACATATGGAAATCATATGCTTGTTTGACTCAATGTCATCTTTGTTATGCCAAAGTGGTCAACAGTTCCACAGGAGGTAAGTGAATTTTGTGAGGGTGGGTTGTGTTGCGGAAGCATCAGTATGCTAGTAACGGTATGGTTTAATGATATTTCCAATTTAGACTGCTGATTATTTTTGGTATTGTTGGATTCTGTGAGCTGGTTAGTGTAGCTGGAAGTTAGCTCTGAAGTGCTTGTCCAGAAGGACAATGATTGTCTTCGCAATAAAACCAGCTAACCAAGAGGACACAAGAGCATTTAAAACATCCCCCCTGAAGGAGAAATTTCCTCCTCTTCTGACTATACTTTCTAGTTTAGGGACACGAAAGATGGGTCATTCCGTATTTCCATATTTAAAAATCTTCATTCTCATATTTGTGCCATGGTGTTTCAGTACTACAATGCTCGCCAACCACTTAGGTGGTATGGGTTCGACTTCTAGCCGACAAATTACTCAACCTCGCTTCTGTCTGTCTGTTTTCGACATAGAACTTTGCACAAATGTGCGGAAGTTCAAGTCGCCACATTCCGTGTAGCACACGAAGCACGCTTAGCCAATAAGAAGCCCGATAAAGAGGGAAGATTGGGCGTGAGGCCCGCAAACCCACCCATAAAAAAATACGCAACCACTACTGAAACTTTAAAGCGCAGGCTTGAAACCCAATGCTCCACCCAGAAGTCAAATTCAATGAAAAGATTGCTTGAGATCTAGCGTACTACATTGCCTAAGTATCAGGTATACCATTTCACTTTTTCACTTATACAATCATTGATTTCCATTTATTTGTCCTGATTTCTTTTTTAGAGAGCCACAATCTTTATATCAGTCAGTGTTCAATGAAGTTGCTATGAATGCAGGATTCACATGAATCACTTACAAGTTATTAAATCACAAGATATTGTTCTACAAACAGTCACTTTAATCCCTGAGTTAATAAAAACTTTCTGTGAAACAATTGATAATCAAATGTCTATGAATGTTACATCCTCTGAGGGGGAAATCAAATCAGATACTGTAATAAACAGAAGCAGCGTAGAATTTCTTATACATGTATCACGTTTAATTGAAGTGAGTTTAATTCAATTTGAATTTTTAACATTTTTCTGTGGTTATCGATTAAATAATTTCACATATATGTATAATATAGTGTGGGGGGAATCTACTGAACCCAACATAAAGGAATAAAATCTGGATTTTCAACACCAATATCAAGTCAATAATTCTACATAGTTCCAGAGACACTCGAGGTGCGCGTCACGCAAAAGTATCTCCAGCAGACTATTATAAGACTTTCATCGACAGTTGTCTTTGCTGATTTGATTCTGAAGATCAGATGGCCAATCAGAAAGGATTAACAACAAACAACTCTGTCAACAAACCAATCAAGAACCTGTTGCCCACAAATATGTCGAAGGAAAGGGAGATGGATTTGACACACTCTTAGAAGACAATTGAGTGACAAATCACGCACCGCACACTCTAGCAGAACCTGAATGAGAAATGATGAGTTGTGCATTGGCCTAAGAGTGACACGGAAGAGGTCGAGTGAGGAGGAAGTAAAGCCTATGAGCAATCGTGGAGCTAACTATAAAAACAAAAGACTAAAGAGAACAAATTGAAATGGAGATGTGCAACTGGAAGCCCTATGTTTCATTCGGAACCCAAGAGAATAATAATATAACGTCACAATTTGTAATGTATAGATCTCTGTTCATCCTACTGAATGATAATTTTAAGCTTTACGAGGTTTAATGTATGCTGTTTATAGGAGGGAAATTTTTTTGAACAATATCAATTATATAAAAGTTAAAGTGTAGTTGTTCAACCGAATAACCTTCAAACGGTCAATCAGAGTAAATCAAGTTAATGTGGGTGGGTGGGGGGTTAACATGAAAGAAATTCTTTCAAGGAAATGTGAGCTTATTGAACAACCTAGCTTTCTGTAAAATTCTGTAAGAATAACTTCTGTTTTTTCATAAGAGTGTCGGTATTCATTCAGATAGCTATCATTTAGGATGGGGCGCTAGAATTACGAGCTAGTGATATGAGAATAGGATCGTGTGTAAATGATATTTTCCGGATTAAGTGTATTCTGAAGCCGATTGGTTGCTAACATTAAACTTGCTTTGTCGATTATAACTCGATTATTACTTCCGCGAACTCTGATTGACTACTTCAAGTTCACCTGTGTGCCTGTGCTCCACAACTACTCTCTTTTCACGTCATACATCAAAGCTTAAATCTCAGTGTGTATACACACTTTACAACAAAACCTCATATCATCAGGTTGTCAGTCATTGTATCCAGTAGAAACATCGATTTACGTTTATATAGGTTAGATGTGAATAATGGGATAAACAGTTGTCAAGCTTGAGAACTGAATTTATGACTTGTAGGGGAGGGCAAAAGCTGGTCGTGAGGTGTTTTCGTGCATAATCTAACAAACGCCGTAATAGATATTCCAGCTGTATAAAAATGGGGGTAAATTACCTTGAAAATTGTCAAATATATCATCTGATGTGATAACAACATTCCTTTAAATAGGTAGTGCAAAACCTAAGGAAATTCAAATCGTAGTTGACCGCTTCTGTTTTCCCTATTCAAGGATATTAAAACGAAAGTGTGGCGAAATCGTTCTGTTATAACTTATATACTCACTCTTTTTTTACATTTAATATACAACAATCTTTTACTTGGTTAAAGAGCCATTGGAAACCGGGGGGGGGCAGCAGGTAGTTGTCTCGTCCTATTTCGGGACTCTTCATTAGTACGCACCCACAACCCCACCGGGGAACCCTAGTGATCAAACTTGAAACGAATCAATTCCCCACAAACTAACTCTTGAAAATTCCTTAGTCGATTTTGTTGGTTTCCTTCTTGGTGTTCGCAGGTTAAGATAGATAAAGTGGAATTTACTTCAAGTAGCGTTGTTGATGCAGACTGAAGGATATTAGATTGCTGAAGCAGTAGTACATGTATATCTTGTAACATTACAAGAGACAGATAGTATATACCAACGTAGCAGACAGTAAACTACTGTTTTTATATGACAAATAGTAATACTAATTAGCCGCCCAAACTGTGCACATTGAGTACTGATAGAAAACGTTGATCCACTAAAAGCCAACTGACGTATCTACTGAACTGTGATTAGTAGAACATGGTATTGTCTTATCAAAGCAATTTCAAATTATAGTTAGTGAAGGTGAATGGGTTTTAGTTACATCCACTCACAAACCTTATATTAATCTACATCTCTATTTGTTACCGTATTGAATGATCAATATAAAATATTCACTCTCTACATATATATGTATATCTCACTTCTTATTAGGCTGGTGTAGCTGAAATTGTACAGTATCGTGAAACTCGTCTATCAAGTTTGCTTAAAACTTTAGAATCATGCAATAAAATGGATGAATCATCTAGGAAAGTTTATTACCTACCTTGTTGGCTTACAGATGAAGAACCATATGGTCTTGGAAATGTTTTGTTGAAATTGGTTAGTTTCATTTCCTTATAACTCTTATTATTATTATTATAATCATTACTCCATTGTTTGGTAAAATGTATTGATACTTTATAAAGGTGAAGTTTTCAGTTGAACAGTATAAGGTGTAAAACTTCACTCTTTCGATGCTTTAAGAAATAAACCTCATTTCAGCTGTAGAGGTAAAATACCTGATGAAGAACTTAGGCAAGTGTCTACGACTTTTGACTGATAGAATTGTAACAACAGAAGAAAAGGGTCAGGCAACAGATCGTTTATTGAGAAAATCAACATATATTTATAGATTTTTATGTACAGTACTTTTAGCGTCATTGTTAGCAGAGAAACAATGTCTTATGATTGGTTGTTTTCTTGCTGAAGGTTATTCTGTCATCTCTTTGTAGCCGTTTCTTAGAAAGTCAGGCTATATATCTGCCAATCGTATTTGCATACGTTAAGTCTGCTGTGATTGTTTGGTGAGTTCCTCAAGGTTAAGCTTTGTTCTTGTTTTTTTCTCATGACCCCTATTCGGCACGTAAACATCGATGTAAACTGTTGCCTACAATTATGGCTAACAGACAGCTCTCACCATAGAATGATGCTCCGTGCAAGGATCATGAATACTTACGACTGACTGACTAAGTTTCAATACAGAAGTGCAGCAGTTCGGGTAGCTACATTCCACGCAGCATTCGAAGGGGGACAATCGAATCAACTGCAAATACATGTAATAGAAATGATTCAATACCTGTCCCAGATATATGGAAAATTCTACTGCCCATACGACAAATAGGAAAAAAAAGTCGTGTGACCACAATTGATATGATTATGAACAATAATGAATTGTGTTCGAAACGTCATCCAGTATATAATACTGTTTCACTGTGTGATACATCTAATAAACAAACTAATATGGTTCACAGTGTTGTTACCTTCTAAAGCGTATAGAAATTATGTGGACAGTTTGTTCAGTTTAACAAAATTAAAACAGACTATTATTATTATTATTATTATTATGTGTCTAACTGTTTTGCGTCGGTGGCTCACGTGGTCTGTGGCTCGATTCCCTCCCGACCGGCCCACACGTTTACTTCCCTTAATCCAACAAAGAGGGAAGGTTTGGTGTTTGGGTAGAGACTCCTCCCCGTGAAAAAAAACAACCCCTGCTACTGAAACTTCAAAGCTCCAGCTTGAAGTCCTATGTGTTCCACTTTAAATTCAAAGGAATCAAATAAAAGTGAATAACTGTGTTTTTTTATCTTTCAGTTAAATCATCTTGTTAAAGTTGGATCGAATAAATCAATAATGGAGAGTGAAACTGATCATTATCATCATATGTCGAATGATGAAATGATTAGTTATCACCAACTGACTAATGATTGTATTAAATATGCAATTGATTTAATCGTAGTATATTATGCATTGCAAAACAACGTGTCCTCTGGGCTACAGTCAACTCATCTTGGGCATTATATTCAAATAAAGAAAACAATTTACTGGATAGTCATCATGTTGTCGAACTACAACATCAACAAAATAATCAAACAGACATTAAAAATCGTATACAAGCAATACAACGACTTAGACGATTAAAACATTGGTATGCAAGTTTAAGAGAATATCTTATTTCAATTGTCGGTAAGTTGATGTTTTCTCTGTTCATTTGCGTACGGAAGTTATTTCAGAGTAATAAAGTCAAACAGAGTATTATTTTTTTAAAATTTCTGAATTCTTGATTCAAACTGTCTTCATTGTCCGTCTTAACTGAAGACATTTTTTCAAGTGTTTGGTTCCCAGATGGTAGCATAAAAAGAAATTTGCATAGAAACAGCACTTGGACAGGTCAATATACACATTTTCACAGCTTCGTTCCTATCGAGTACAAAAGAAATTTAGTGAAGACCCTCAGTCACAGAGTTAGAGTTATATGTTCAGAAGCAGTAATTGAAGATGAATTAAGCATTGTATATGATACTTTGATCGAAAATGGCTATCCCGAAAAATTTATCAAGAAACACATGACAAAGAAAGCGGAAAAGGACTACTCACTATCTGCAAACAAGAAGCCACTTTATATACGACTACAATTCAAGGGCGATATACCAAGTGAGATAATTACGAATGATATAAGAAAATCAGTTCAAAGAACTTTTACTGCTGGCGAACTACACGTATTATTCTCTACGCGACCGATAGTGCTACCTCGACTGAAATATGAAGTACCTGGACTAGACTAGCCACTTCAAATTGTATCTACCAATCCAACTGCGCTTGTGGGGTGAGTTATATTGGCCGTTGCTGTAGGAACTTGATTTTTCGTGCTCAGGAACATATCCTACTATGGCTAAGTAAAGGTGTAGTTAAAACCATTAGCAGTTGGATATTGGACCATCTGGTGCAAACCGGCCGTAAAGCCAGCCAACATTGAAGAATCCTTCTCAATCATCTACCGGGTGCCAAAAAAATTGCCAAAACCAACCAGCTACCGCATACTCCAAACACCAGAGACTATCGAAATTCACCTGAAACAACAACCAGTACCTTGTGTGCAAAAGAAGTAAGTTCAGTCAGCCACTATTACGCCCTAGCCTACAGTGGAGATTATAAATTCATCGATTTGTATTATCGTTCTTCCTAATTTTTCTGATATTCAGTCTGTGTTGCCATGTTTATGCTATTGAACTGTAATCCACTGATGTTATTATTGATTAGATGTTACTTCAACAACATTAATATTGTGAATAACACTAATTCATTTACTATTATGTATATATAAGTGTAGAACCTAATGATGAAGGGTTATCGAAAAGAATATTCTTTGTTCAGTAACCATTGTTTTGAAGATTTGATATATGTCAAGTTCGATCATTAAATAAATTCAATTTCATAATCACTGAAAACCAATTCGTCCCAGTTTGAGACTCCTCATCAGTACGCACCCATCACCCCAACAGGGATGAAATCTGTGACCTTCAGGTTAGAAGACGAGCCTCTTGACTGTTCTAACTTCTACCAGTTTGTGATATGTAGCTCAGCCAACCAACTTGATGTAATTCTGCCTGTCACAGTTTCTCACTAGGAATCCAGGAGAATTTATTCTGTAATCAGTCATGAGTGAGCATTAGGTTCTAGATACGACTGGAGGCAGGGGGGGGAGGGGCATTGATGTGTACGATTGAAAAGTTGCAAACTAGGAGGAAATAGTTGTCTAATCTACCCTGGTTTCCAATGATACTTACTCAGACTGAGGTCAGTTCGTGATCATATTTGAAATTTTATTTCGTAATTTTTGAGATTGATCAAAAAAGACTTAATTTCAGCTTTCCTACTGAGGTAAAATTTATTAATATGAATGGTAAGACAATTTTTCATTTCATCATCAAGACTGTTGTTGTATTCCCTGAGTGAATGGAGTGAATTCATTGAATGACTACTGTAACTTAGTGGTGTGTTATGCATTTGCTTGTTGTTCAATGCTTTACTGTTTTCAAAGGGTAACTCCAGTTCTAGCTAGATTTATTCTTTAATCATTAAACCAGCAACATTTTTCTGAAGAACTAGTATGCCTACTGAAAAGGATTCCTAAGTAGTATATTGTGAAGTGCTTTGCTAAAATCTTGAAAAATGAAGCGACGGATGCAATTGGAGAACAGGAGAAATGAAGATAATTAGGTAACAATATAGAAAGCAAAATGGGGAAGAACACGAACAACTTTGGCGCAATTGTAAAGTTTCAATGCACGGTTTTTATACTTTTTGCCATCAATGTATCAAATGAACAACAATTTTACTGGCAAAACCCCCTGAGTTCTGTCGTTATGCTAGAAGCAACTGACATGTCAACAGAAACTAAGTATTTCAGTCCAATATAACCAATCAACGAGGAATTGGAAAATAACTTCAACGAATAACAACTTAGATGGTTCTCGCGGCAAGGTAATGCAGTAGTAGTCCAAAAAGAGTCTCAATGAGAACACCATTACTCACTTCGGACTCAAGCACATCTTACTAACGAGCTCCAAACAAAACGCAATACGCATCCTTGATTCCACTGAAAGCTACCACCTTTCAAGCAAAATGATTCTCAATATTAATAAAAACTAAATTATTACACTCAACTTTGACGAAGTGAATTATACATAATACGTGTCTATTATATGTTTTACATTACCAAGGAAATCCATTAGATACAAAGTATTCATGTATACGAGTTCATGTTATACCAGTTTTGCTGAACCTTAGAAGTTCAGCATATAAATATTGACGCATTAGTATACTGGTTGCTTCTTTGAATCATTGGGCTACCTAAATTTCTACAGGACGTAATGCTTAAAACTTAATTAATTGACTTTATGTTTACCATCTAATCAAGTCCTCTAGGAATAATCTGTACTCAAGTGCATTTTTGAATGGCTTCCAATAAACCCTTAGTTATGTTTTGAAGGGACAAAATTGTCGGGAGTATGTATATATTTCAGATAGAAAAGTATTGTCGTTAATGATGTGCTGCAGATCAAATACTCAACTATACTAGCTAGCAATAATCCAATTACCCACGAAAGAAACTGTGTGCAAACATTGTTTAAAAGAATTCAAACACACTGTAACACTCCAGAGTTGAAAAGAATGCAAGAAAAATACCTAATAACTGTCTTCAAAAAGGAATGGATTTCCACACAATTTCATCAAAAAGTGTTTAAAATCGAATCACAACACCAACAAGGAACCATCATCAAAGACCACAAGAAAATTCATCCTACTATATATAGAAAATATCTCTGAAATAACAGCTAGAATAATGAAACTGTTTGAAATAGATATAGCACACAAGCCAGTCCAATTACTTCATTCGATATTGTACAAACTGAAAGATCGGACAGAAAAAGAAGATAAAATTAATACCATTTACAAAATAAATTGTACGACCGTAACAGACATTGCATCTGCCACAATCGGCGTCCCTACGAATCAGAATCCAGGACACAAATCAGCTGTGAAAAGACATGATATATACTCCTTCATATCAATGGATATAGACAGTTATGGACATCAGTTTGATTGGGATAATGTCAAAATCTTAGACAGAGGAAACATTAAAACTGCCAGGGAATTGCTAGAAGCCTGGTACTCAAGCGAATATGCAATTAACAAATATGTTAATGTAGACCAAATATACCAACTATTAAAAAGTAAATCATGTGACGAGAAAGTTTAAAATCCAAGTAAATAGAAAATGGTCAATACATATGTAAAGATGGTTACCGGGAGACGCAATTATATCACTCATGAATAAATTTAAATCATTTCAGTTTATGCTAAATATTGCGCTGAAGATGTTGTCCAGAAGTGGGACGAAGAAAGCTCCGCAACTAAACCAGTCAGCTGAGAAAACACTAATAATTGCAAATCATCCACCTGAGCTACAATTCTTCTCTATTATTTCAGATTGTTACTTTACCTGAAGATCCTGTACAAGAAGCAGACATAAACACTCTGAAAGTCCTGTTGTCTCTAAATGTACTGCACAGAATAAGACTGTTATTATTATTATTATTATTATATAATCAATCATCTTCTGAACTTTAAGAAATCCATAATTAGTTATATGGAAGATAAATAGTGTTGTTATACATTCTCTGTTAGTTTTTATAAAAATCTTAAAACTGGCTCTTTTTTAACTCCTTTTATGTACTACAGGTGATCAACTTCATCGACCTGAATCAGCACTTGACTTAGCTGAACAATTTGTCGATTTAGATCAGATAATGCGTTGGTGTTACCTTTTAGAAGTACAAGATGAACAATACAGTTTAGGAGCTGGTGCTGGCGGTGATGAATTGACTTCTATTGCTTTAGGAAATGAAGCTGATCAACGTAATCGTTATCATCATCATCGTTTAGCGGCTGTCTTAAAACGTGTCCCTCGTGAATGGAAACTTCCAGATTATGCTCTTCAGGTAAGCAGTTATTTTTATTTAATTCATTTGTTTAAATCATTTACCCTCTCTTTTCTTGTTTTTACACGTTTTGTTTGATAATATTGCAGCATCCGTAAAATTGTTCTGTTGGAATCAGTGAATTTCTGTTTGTCAGCTTTACTGGACTGAAATTATTGGCCAACTCTGTAACGGGAATACCTTATTAACACCTTTGATTATTATGTGACATGTAGACTTTGGTTAGCAATGAAATGGAATGAATATCTAACTGCAATTATTTAATGCATATCTGTTCAACACTGTTACTGATTACACTGGGACAAACTACAAGTTATGTAATATTTGAACTCATGATAAACTGAGCTGTGTATATGTCTGTCTATCTGTCTGGATTCAACATAGAACTTGGCACCGAAGTGCAGCAGTTCGAGTTGCCACGTTCCAAATAGCACACAGAGGTAGACAAGAAGATGAGTAAAGAGAATCAATAGAGTTTGGCAGGTATAGGAGTGAAACAGAATGGGTAATCGTAGAAAGGAATATAAAAGAATACAGAGACTAAATTCATCTGCGCCATTGACAACAATTTTGGGCCATGTCACCTATTATCTCCAGCCATTGATTCCTAGAGTCAGTCCCGAGGGCCCAACCCGGGAGTCTGCATCTCCCTACCTGACTCAGTTTAACTGTCGAGGATTTCATGGATTGTATGCGTGTTTCTGAAACACAACATACATCACTGGCTCGGGATGCCAGAGTCTTGGCTAGTGATGCTTGTTATCCTATTTGGCAAAGTGTCCTAACAGTAAATGCTCCTATATGAAATTGGTGGCGTGGCTGTCAATGGTGGTTTTTTGGCTTCCATCGTTTTTAGTGGATACAGATTGAAGAGGAAGTGAGGACCCATTAAGTAAGAGGAGTTGCATCAGCGGAAGGAAGGCAAGATAATAGAGATGAAGATGAAGACAAAGATGAGTGAGTATTAGAGAGGTTTCGTGTGCATTTCGGATTGTGAGGGCGATTGTTACTTCCCGACTGCCCACACCGTGGAAGTTGGTTGCGTGACCACAGAGCCCAGGGGACAACTGCTTGAGGTCGGTCACACGCGGCCTGTTTTTGTTCGTTCTTTTTTGTTTGGTGTGTCTCAGTAGCATACTTATCACTCCTGCCCTGTGACACGGCAGCAGGAAGCGCGGTCGTTGTTAATCCGGGTCACGGCCGATCCGGCATGAAATTTTGTGATTTTGTATTGAACATGATGTTGGATGGGTAGTTGCTTTTTGTTTAACCGCTATCCAAACAACCTGCCTGGCATGGTAGAACCTCAAGAGACATAAGTCTCAGCCAGTATAGCTTGATTAGGTTATTGCGGTGTTCAATCCCGACCACCACGTCAAGGTAGCAGCTTTCGGCCGGGTATATACGTGAATCCTATATTGAAATGCACTTTCCATTTAGGCATGAGACAGTTAAAGAACACTAGTCTTTATCTACTGTTTTTGCATCCATTAATTGTATTCAACATCAAAATAATACCAGCATTAATGAGAAGATGTCACTAGTTAATACAATGAATCCTTCATTTCACTTCACACTGAAGTGAACTCTGTCCCGAAAGACAATGACAGACAGCTTCACTATTAAACTTACCCATCTGAGCTCTACAAATCTATTATTTCAAGACAGTAAATTTATAATGTTCTAAAAGATCAAATAGTTTTACATGATCCGAAAAGAAGATGAGAACTGTAAATGTTTAGAAGCAGGAATAATAATCTTCATAAGAGCAAGAGATACAGAATAGGCTAAAAGTTAACTTGTTTTCATTACGGATTTAAAAAGAAAGAATAAGAAATCAACGAATACAGATGGATTGATTACATGCCAAATTATAGTACAGATCAAAAAGCTCTAAAGTCATAGTAGGTAGTAAAAAGAATTGGATAACACACACACAGTTCAGGGCTTTTCCTGTGTATAGCAAAAGTTTCCTCTGAGACAGAAGACAATTTAACCAAAAAAATCTTCATATATATCACATCAAGGGATATCTTCATCGATTTTCTTCAGACTGTGTAAGAGTGGTGAATCAAGGTTTCGTAATATATCCTTTCTTTCTTGTTATGTAATCTCATAGGTTTTGTTACCAACTGGTATTAATAGTTGACCTATTACAGAGCATTATTTAACTGTACAGCTTTGAAACAAAGTTACAAAAGGAATATTCTATGGTGAACTGTCTTTTGAAATTATATCATGTGTGTTAGAATTGGCAAGCTTCTTCATTAACCATGAATTCGTGATTAGTACTTAAACTGACATGATAGCCTTATTGGACAGAGTTTTAATTCGTTTACTTATGGCTTAATTTTCTGGAGTCAGACAGTGGTTTTTTCCAGTCTAATTTTTGTGTCTATTTTCAATTTATTAGTTAGTTATGCATACTGTTATGTTCTGAAGGCGGCTTCCAGTCAATTTAAACGAACTCAGAACTCTATCACTCCATCGTAACAACATGGGTATTTAGAATAATTATTATATCGATTTTATAGGAAATCTGTCTTCGCATCTCTCCTGGTCTTCTCATGTCTTAGCAATCTCCAGTAAAATATTCCGCCTGCTATTTTACATTAAAAAGTTAAGGCACTCAGGTATAACTCAACCCCTCCTCCTCTTACAGTTCATAAACTCTAGCATCCTACCTATTCTTCTTTATTGTTCACCTTTATTCTTTCCTGGCTTGCTTAAAAAGGACTATGTCACAATTCGTAGAATGCTGAAGACGGTCAGTAGGGTGAGTGGTGTCCCATTGGATCACATAGTTAACGTCGTTGTCGATAGACACTTAACTTCGTGCAATAAATTTGCTGAAGGGATTTTGTCTGACTTGGAGCATCCGCTTTACCCTCAGCTGTCACCTTGCGCCTCCTCAGGTAGAACAAGAAGTAACTTCAGAAAACTGTATGCTCGCACGTCTAAGTATAAAAATTCTATGATACCATACTTGGCACGTATTTTATGTGATGAAAATAGTGTCAGGCAAGAGTTAACTAACCTTTTTTCATCTAGCAAATAAACAATTTCCTCAATCCATCCATCCATCCTTATATACCTTCAAGTCTTACTTTTATTATTTCTATTATATTTATAGTCCTGTTGCTTCTTTGTTTTACTTTCATAATTGCAAACACCAACTTATCTCTATGACTGCTGTAATCTTTGTTTTTCCCCTCACCATATCATGTAAAGAGAACATTATATTCATTATTTGTAAACATGCTCGGATTTCTATACCAAATCGACAATACTGTGTGAAACAAGCCCACGGCAATTTTCACTTGTATCATTATTATCACCCTAGCTGTTATCATTACTATTGCTATTTCCATTTTATATGCTGCATGCTTTTGACATTACCTAAATTGTAAATGTGGGAAATTTTCTGTGTGATTAATTTTATTTATAATTTGAGGAAATTAGATGCAAGGTGTTGTGATTAATGCTGAAAATTCCATTCGGTGTCACAAGTACTATGTTTGGAGTAAAGTAAATCATTATTATAATTAGTATTATCTTTTTAATCTGATTGTATTCTTGCACTGGTTGATTTAACTGAGAAGCTTCTATTGTGCTTTTTCAGCACAAGCCTTAATATGAAGTGAACTTATTCAAATGTGTCCCGCTTAATTGAGTGAGTCTTAGAGGACAGTTCACTTGACTGAAAGACATCTACATATCCACATATGTAACTAACTAGCTATACAGTTAAATTATCTTAATGTGTGCGTCGGTGGCACAGTGGCTAGGACTCTCGCCGACCATGCACATGGTCCGGGGTTCGACTCCCTGCCGACGCACACCTGATATCTATGGTCGGCCTGCAAAATTTGGGCTACCGATATCACATGCTGAAAATTCCATACTTGTACCAAAAATACAGTGTGGAATCAAGCTGTAATCAAAAATAAAGAAAATTTAAAAAATCTTTTTTTTCTAGCTATCATAACTTTTATTGTGCTAAACAGTTGCTTTTAAAAAAAAATTGTTTTCATTTCAGTGGTTCCTGTCAAATGGTGAACGTTCACGAGTTCAATCGCTTCTTGCTCTGCTACATCGTTCCAACGCTGTATTAAATGCCACAGAAGTACACGATACTACTAATCTTAATCCTAGTAATATTAGTAGTAGCAATAACAGTGACATGATGATTTCACACCAAGTAATTAATAATACATCAATCATCAATGATAAGAAACCATTAAATATTTCAGTGATGAAAAATACACACCATGATTTGAATCAACCTCATTCAATTGTAGACACAAGTATAAATAATTCTATGCTAGGAGTAACTAGTAAAATCAACCAGTCTATGCAACATAAAGTTGATCCTATCAGTTATCAGCGTATTGAATGCGATGATCCAGTTGAAAAATTTCTACATCGTAAAGATGTACAAATTCATGCCTGGCCTCATTTAATGTCTACTGGACAATTCGAAAAGGTATGTGTCCATGTTTTAACATTTCCATTTGGTTTCTTTTTTCGCTTATTTCTTTCTCATTTGCCATTGAAGAACATTCATTTCTCGAAAAGATGTTTACAAGCAATCGTAATGAATCACTAGATCTTGATTTCATACTTGTAGTCATTCGGTAGCAGGGCGTAGCTGCGAGTTTAAAGGCACCGAGATCCCCACGGGGATTCAACTGATGCTGCACTCAGAGATGTTATTACTAAGCTACTTAGGCTTACGACGCTTAAATCTCCAACTGTAGCATTGAGTGACGCGGGTTCAAAACTTCTAGGGGATATAAGGTCTTTCCAGTTTGTAGTTACGTCTTACTGATGAGTGACAAAAAGTACGAAATCTATATACAAAGTTTCCTACTGACTGCTTCCATCAATCTAACGTGAATTTGAAGTGTTTTGCAATCGTGAGGCACCTACCTTGGTGAACACATTTTAAACTTAATTGGTAGAATTCAGTTAGCGTCAACAGCGTCGATGGTTCAGTGTTAAAACACCGGCCAACCACTCAAGTGGTCCGGGATTCGATTCTCGGCCGACACACCCCTTTACCTCACCTAGCCGGCCGGTGGTAAGCTCGGTAAAATGGAGGGCTGGGCGTGAGGCTAGCACCCCCATCCTGTGAAAAATCAGCACTGCTATTGAAACTTAAAAGTTCTAGCTTGAAGCTCTATGTTTCAATGAGAACACTAAGGAATAAAATAAAAAATAAGTTAGCGTCAACACCGAGGACTAGATAGATGGCATTGGTCACTCCTGAGTGACCAATCAATGTAGACCAAAATTGTTTCAGTGAAATACTCCTTATAACTGTAATTCTTAATTTATATTAAATCTCTTCATTGATAGATAGGAAACGCTGTAAATACTCGGTGGTTGAAATTTCATTTGTGGCCCTTTAGTTGCAACTGTTATTATTATTATTATTACTATTCATCGTTTGCATTTTTAGTGGGACATAGGATTGAGAACCGTATCTCCATTTCACTGTGTTCTTTGCTGTCTTTTTAAGTTGACTCCGTAATTCCCCACGTGCTCTCACTTCCTCTTCACATGATCACTTCCACGTAACTTCCTAGTTTTCCAATTATTGGTTTGTAGGTATTTGATTGATTGATTGATTGGTTACAGGATTTCATCATGAGCTGACATCAGTTATAGAATAGTTGGAAAACCAGCTGGGAGTACTGGACAGCTGTTTTGTCAGCCTTGTTTGTGACTCTTTATCAGTACGCACCCACCGCCGTGGTTCGAACCCCAGGATCTTCTGGTTACAATGCGAGCCAGCTCGTAGACCATTAAGCCACTGACACCTGAATCGATCCAATGGCCAGTGCATGAATTCGAACTTCTGCCAATTCACGCGACCGCTAGCCAGTGTCTTTGGCGAGTATTTGTCCTCACACCCGACCTTCTGCACCCTCCTGGTCACGACATCCCACTAGAACCCCAGGTAACGACCTACCTGAATAGTTTACTAACCGGCCCTAAATTTGGAGAAAGAGGAAAAGTTAGGCGTAGGACTATCTAGCTATGCATCTCCAGAAAAAGTTAACCCCATGACTACAGAAACTTGAAAGTTGCAACTACTTGAGAAAGACTAAGGCAAGATGGAAAAGAAGTCAATCATATTTCTTCAATCATTTCAGGGGATAATTTTTACAGGTGTTCTGTTTGAAGCTCTAAGGAATGATTCATTGTGTTTTATGCCTTATCATTAGAAAGATTGGTAGTTGACTAATGCGGCTGGAAGTTAAGTTCAGTAGAAATCAGTGCTCAATATATACTTAGGACAGATTGTACTACTTATCAATGAAGGGTATGGGTATACGTCGAAAACTTTTATGCTTATGTGCGTCGGTGGCACATTGGTTATGACTCTAGCCGACCATGCACATGGTCCGGGGTTCGACTTTCTGCCGACGCACACCTGATATCTATGGCCGGCCTGCAAAATTTCGGCTACCGATATCACATGCTGAAAAGTTCATACTTGTACCGAAAGTACAGTGTGGAATCAAGCTGTCATCAAAAAAAAATTTGAAATGGCACTAATCAATTTTGAAGTTCAAGAATTTATTACCAGGCTAATCAATTCTTTGATTTCACCACTAAAAGGTGTATCATATTGAAATGTCAAACTAGAAATAGATTCTCTCGAGATTGCATATGCGCTATCATCGAAATTTACTGAGATCAAATTTGTTATGTACTCGTCGCCAAATTATTATTAAGTACTGGTCGAGAATTTAATAGTCCTGACGCAAGAAAGACGGAAATCAGAAGACCACTAGGTTTGTGATGATACTTCTATTTTCCAAACACAAGGAGAAGCAATAAGTGGATCACACCAAAAGTAAGTGAGTCACACAAATTGTGAGAGCGAAATATATATGAATGTCCAGACAAGTGTGTGAACAAATCAATAGACAGTCTTAACATGAATGGCTAATTATAATGGAGTATCGATCCATATATACATAGTCAAATATAGCAGACATGTCAACAAACACACATATTATATGAATATATATATATGGATACATATCAAAATTGATACGTATCCACATGATGTGTGTTTGTTTTTGACAGTCTATTATATTTTGCTGTGTGTAAATGGATCGATATTCCGTTATAACTGACAATATGCCTTTTGTCCGTCCACTAACTAAATAAACAATGTATGACCTTGTTGTCACATGACATTACAACCAATCATGTTAAGACTGGTTATTTATTGGTTCATGTGTATTAGTCATTTTCATATATACTTTTGTACTGGATTCTTGTTCATACTTGTCCGTACATTTCGTACTTATTCACTCACACTCTTGTGTGACAATTATTTCCCTTGTTTGGAAAGTACAAGTATCATCGTAAACCTGGTGGTCTTCTTATTTCCCTCTTTCCGCGTCAGGACTATTAACTACTCGACGAGTACATAACACAAATTTATGATGTATTTAGTCAAACATTACATTTCTTATGATCGGTACTAAGTCTTATCTGATAACGTCTAAGGTCAATAAATCGGTTAATCTTCTACACTTCACTCCACACAATAACAGATGCTAACGCGACACAATTACTCCTTCATCCTACACATCTACATCATGAAGTGGTCGTTATTTCTAAATAGATCTAGTGGTAGAAAGTGGTAAACAGTGTAGAGGCCGCTGGAACGACATACGTGATATATATTTTTATTTTATTTATTTTTGATTACAGCTTGATTCCACACTGTACTTTCGGTACAAGTATGAACTTTTCGGCATGGATATCGGTAGCCGAAATTTTGCAGGCCGACCATAGATATCAGGTGTGCGTCGGCAGGGGATCGAACCTCGGACCGTGTGCATGGTCGGCGATAGTCCTAAACATTGTGCCACCGACGATGTCTTAAAATGACATCACTTATTGGAAATCACTCTCCACTTTGTCCAAAAAAAACAGCAAAAGTACCAAAGATACTGGTAAAATAATTAGCACGCAACTAAGAAAAATTGCTCCACACTCTTGTATATCTGTAGGAATACTCCATCAAGCTCTACTGTCTTCCCCTCCCCCTACCGGTTTACAGTTAATTGACAGTTGTCTCAACTGCTGTAAGTGTTGGGTGTTAGGTGTCACTGTCACTGTACCATTCACGGCTGTGATTGAATAATGTGTAGAACTCACTACTATCTTAGTGGAACACCTATCTGGTGTTGAATCCTTCTCATTAGCCGTACAATTCTACTCGCAAGCCGTTACCATAGTGTGTTAGCTGTGCACAGTTATAACCTTAGCTACTTATAACCTTTCCACCATAATTAGGTCTTGACAAACAATATGTGTGTGTCTACCTATTGCATTTCGCTTGATTATCGTGATATGTAAGCCCGATTAGTATAGTGTGTGAAGATTACTCCAACATCTGTGAACAGTACTTGTCAAATGAAACTCGAATAATAACATACTGAATCGAGTTACCAATAGTATTTATACTTTCGAATTTCACGTATGTCATACTTATTTACACTTAAAGTCTTTTAGTTTGTTTTTTGTCTTCTTATAGGCTGCAACTGTTTTATATGAAGAAGCGTGTAAAGAATTTCAATTTTAGGACGTCGTAAAAATTTATTCAGTCTAGCTAAACTTACATATTTAACATCAGATCAATTAAATTCAGTGAAAAATCAATCAAAATCAATGTTCAATAAGAATCAACTTATTAATCAATCTTACGACAGAATGGAACTACAAAAGGATTATGAACAAGACAATCAAAGATGTCCATTGATTTCAAAAATTGATGGTTATCTAAAGTGGATATCACTTCAAGTAAGTGGAATGTTTCCTTTTAAGGTATATTACTCGTTAACTGTGTGTATACGGTTGCAGACAAAAAGAAAGACATTGACAACTATAAAACTGTTTTATCCTAGTTTGGGACTCTTCAATGCTAAGTGCCCACTGAAGTTTGAACCGAGGATCTTCCGACTACAAGGCGAGTTCGCAAACCATTCAGCCATTGGGATCAGATCCATTAATTATCCTGTGAATTCCAACCTTCTTCTATTCGCGATATATATTCTCCAACCGCCAGCCAACTTGGTAGACGAGTAACTGTTCTCTTACCTGACTTGGTGGAATTGGCCCAAGTTGCAATTCATGGATGATTTGGTTGGTTCTCGGTTCTCGCCTTCTAGCCAAGAGGTCCTGGGTTTGAACCCCAATGGGTGTGTACTACTGAGGAGTCCCAGACCAAGGCGAAACGGTGGTCTGATTCTCCCATATTTTGCAATGCTTCTCTAGTTATCAAGTCGCTTAGAATTAGCCTACTCGTGATTGACTAATATTTCACGTAAAACTTTGCACAGAAGTGCATCCATTCACGTCGCGCTCACTGCATGTGAAGCACACAAAAGTAGGGAAAACATGGAGTCGCAAGAGCCATAATGTATGGATGGATATTCGTGATCACAAAGAGTGAATATTTCTGTGCTGTTGTGAATGATTTTGAGTCATATCAACAACAGTCGCCAACCATTGATTGATCCTTAGCATTTGGTGGAAGTCTACACCTGTGTACCTGGCTGGCCTAAACTAACTGTCAATTAGTTTATGAACTGATTCCAAATTTTGGCTTGATAACCACTGACACTTTTTCAACCTAATCCTATGTCAGCTAATATTGTCAACGGAGGATAGCGTTGGCGTGACACGTGCGAAACACCTTTCTCAGTTATCTCAGTCGATGTAGCTTGACAACGTCATCGACTGACTTACCCACTCCTTACCTAACACTTTACGCCTATCGGTCAATATTACTCATCATATAATACCACTGTTAAAACGGAAGGACAGCGACATCTGTGCTCACATACAACTAACCTTTTTCATATCTTCCACTTGTAATGCTCACTTCTCACAGCAATAGAGAAGGATAGCGAGAGCTGCTTGCAATTTGGTAGATAGTCAGATATCTCGTCTACTCCAGAGATGATGTAAGTTGGCCTACATCTCGTTTAAGGTGTCTTGGTTGAAACCTTCAATGTCGCAAAATCGTGTAAAAGAAAAATGCAACTCAAAGGTGAATGTTTAAATTTACTAATACGTTAACTATTAATCTACAACATTGTACACTCTCCCCTGTATCTCGACAATATTCATTTTTTGTTTTCTTTCTAAAAATTTTCCTTTTAGGAATTGCTTGATCAAAATCATGTTAAATCAGAGTCAATTTTTGACAATACATCGTCTGATTCAGATCCACGTTTTAAACGTGTTCTCTCTATACCAGTATTAGTTCGTTTATATGTGAATAATGCAGCCTGTTTAAATGAAACCATGAAAACTGGTGGTAGTAGTGGTAGTAGTAGTAACCACAATGATAACAATGGTGATCGTGAAGATGATGATGATGGTGACAATGATAATCAGTCCAATGATAAACATTTACTCTCTGAAATGATTATGCATTTTCGTCGAGCGTTTATTCTAATTGATATCTTACAGATTGTGTCAGATTTAAGACCAAACGATGATTGTCATGATCCTATAGAAGCACGAGATGAATTGTTATTACATATTTGGTGTCAAGCAATTCGAATGGATGAGTAAGTTCTAGATGTATATTTATTGATTCTGTTCCATTGGCTGAATGTTAAATCAGCCTGCATCCTAACTTGTAGCTCTTGGAGTTGATCCCACAGGGAAGTCATAGGTGTGCATACTGGTGGAGACTCTAAAATTAGGCCGAAACAGCTGTTGACTTCCGATACTCCTCTAACTAAAACCAATCCATGATCAAACTTGAAAGCAATCAACTCACTATAAAGTAACACTTGAAAGGTATTGATACTGTTGACATTGGAAGACTCGTAAAGAATCCTTTATCTACCCAGCTCTATGATAATGCTACGTCTCAGGGGATCCACAACGTCAAACTCAGTGAGGTGTTTGAAGTGAATACTGGAGTAAGACAAGGCTGGATGCCTCTTATCACCAATGATATTACTAATTGTGGTAGACTGGATTATACGTCAAACTGTGCATGGGAGCGAGGAGGCAAGAATACACTGAACCACCGATAAGAAGACCCTAGAAGATCTAGATTTTGCGCGTGGATGATTTGTGTTTCATGTCACACAAACTTGAAGACTTACAGACGAAAAGCAACAAACTAGTTGAAGAGGCCAGCAGTGAAAGCAGAAATCCAGGTGGGCACAGTGAAGATGAAAGTGAGGAAGATAACCAACCAACAGTAACAGCAACAACAACAAAAACAACCAGAACCAATCACCAATCAATGAGAGAGATTTGACAGAAGTTAATTTCTGCCTTCACTTATCTAGGAAGCAACTTTTCAATCAATCGTGGAACGGATAAAGATGTCAAAGCTGACCAGAATCGGTATAGCAAGATACATCTACGTCAATCTGAAGACCTTCTGCACTCAGAATAGAGAACAAGATTCGGATTTTCAACACCAATGTTAAGTCGGTTCTTCTATATGGATCAAAAATTTGACCACCGTGTCACGAAAGTATTTCGAACAGGTTGTAGACTGTTAACAGCATCTGTCTTCGCTGGCTCAATAGGTAAGAACAAATGGCACGAAAGAATTGGCAAAGTAACTCTGGGAAAGAATTAACCAAAAACCTATTTCTCTATAAATATATAAGAGAAAATGGAAATGGATCAGAAAGACTCTGAGGAGACTGTCAGATGACATCGCACGCCAGACTATCAAGTGGAACCTGAATGAGAAATTGGGTATGTGTCCGAGGGGGACATGGAGGAGATCATCAGAGACTACAGGTAATTGTAGGACCAATCTAATAGGACTGCAGCGAATAGGACAGAGGGGAAATGTGTTGTTAAAGCTCTTTGTACTAGTTGGAACCCAAGGGAACAATAAATAATATTACTCAAATAGTTGACTCTGAAGGGAATCAGTATTGCTGAATTGTATAATCTTAAAGTTTATAGATATGAAATGGTTTGTAAAAAATTATTTCTTATTTGAGTAGAAACAACCACTATACTAATTAGAAATGCTTCAATAACTGGTGTTTCCGAAGTGTATATATTTACATGAGCGAATATATTTCCTCTGAATGACTGGTTTCAACGTAGAACTGTGCACAGAAGTGCAGCAGTTCGAGTTGCCACACTCCCTTCTTGTAGCACATAAAGCAAGAGAAGAGAGAAGAGAAAGATTCAACAGAGAGATATTAAACAGAAATACGAGGCAAACAGAATAGTAATATGGAAGAACAATAGAGCTTTGTCGGGTATTGTAAATCCCAAAGAGTTAATGCATCTGTGTCACTGAGAACGATTTTGAGCCATATCATGGATCGTCTGCAGCCATCGGTTTCTACCATCTCGAGGATTCCAAACAGGAAGCCTACACCTCCTGACGTGGTTGGCTTAAACTAACTATTGTGGGTTTCATTGGCTTATGAATTCATGTTATGTTTTGACCACCGCTGGCTCTTTTCCAACCTGATCCTATATCAGCTAATATTCCCTTAGCTAGGTTTCACGATACATATGAATTTGGTGAAATATAGGTTTTACATGAGAGGAACTAAAGTCGAGATTTGTTTGTAATTATTTACTCCCCCGCCTCCCCCAGTTTGACAATTTCTGCTTCAACATTTGGAAAATTCAACTAGTATCTTGACTACTGTAAACTTCTAACTAAGATCCAGACTCAAAATACTAGAGGAAGTTGTCCTGTCCTCTTTATCAGTGTGCAATCACTCGTATTTATGAATTTCTAAGTAAAACTAATCACTGACTTTTGTTGTTTGCATATTTCTAATGTTGCTATGAAATAAACTTATCATAAGTGAAAACCTTCAGTTTATATAATACTTACTTAGTATATAATATAATTTAATTTCTTACAGATGGTCTACTTCTGGTGATGTACATGATCCTATTGAAATTTGTACACGAAGTTTCATATGTGCACTTGTATCTGATCTTTTCAAAAATGGTATGTTGTAATATCTGCTTTAAATTCATTTGATTGATTGCATTGCGCCGAAATGTTTTTATTCCTTTACGTTCCCAGTTGGACATAGAGCTTCAAGCCACAGCTTTGAAGTCTTGGTAGCACTGGTTCCACTTTTACGGAGGGGGTGGAAGTGGTTGTTAACCTGATGCCAAACCTTCTCTCTTTAGTGGTCTGATTAACCACTTAGCGAGGTTCAAGAGTGCGTCAGCCGAGGATTGAACCCAGGACCTTGTGTGTGGCTGGTGTGACTATTCTACCACTGAACCACCAACGCACATTGGATCACAATGCTGAATCTACTTTAACATATCAACTCCTGATATGGACGCTTTGTATATATTTGAGGAATAACATGAATACGAGAGGTGTTTCTTGCAGTCCAGTGGATAACGATTCTGGGTTTAAAACAATAGGTGCTGAGTTTCAGTCTCAGTGAGAACATCTCACTAACTTTGAGATGAAGATACATTCAGATAAGGAGTCTCGAATGGGACGAAGTGTGTCTCCTAGATTCCACTACTAGTCACCATCAACCAAATAACAATGTGTCACAAAATTGTCGTAATTATTAATATTCATGTTAGCTTTTGTCAACCTTCGTGTTGATAATTATTTACCTTTTCATTTCTCTTCCTATTAATATTTCTTGGGAACTAGTAGTGTTGTGAATATTAATACTGTGAACTCGTCACCTAACCAACATTTTTTCTAAGTAACTAGGTTCTATCGTATAATTATATATGTCTTTCAACCTACTACATAAATGAAGCACCAGGTCGCTGAATAGCATTGAATTATTTAATATTAACTAATAATTTATCTCTATGATAATCAGAATAGCTTTTCCTTAAAGTGATTCTATCGAAATCTAATTCGCATATCCACTTTCTATAAATTCATCGTGACAACTGGCAGAATGGGAAACTGTCTGTTTCGCGGTATCCTTCTCAAAAAACACACACCAAAGTTGACCTCATAATCATGAAAATTTCATTGAAACCAAGTGAATAATAAAACAGTGTATTCTAGGAATTGAAAACAGTTCAAGGTAATTAGAATAAAACATGATACCAATCCATAGAGTCATTTACTGTTGATCTGAGCCACATAGAGAAAGAGGTGTAACCTGGCTGTCTGGTTCCAGTCCTTGACAGGTTGAGAAACAGTGCAGTGGTTGGGGATTGTTCACAATATCAGAAATGTACTCAGTCCTTGTCATCTTTCATATTCTGAAATTATTCTCTCTCTCTCTCACACACACACGCACAAACACTTTTGTTTGTCCACTGTAGCTTCGTTATACTCTTATTCCCTTCGTTTACGGTTACTGTTTTTAATTATCATGAATGGATGATCATGTAGGGTACTTTTGTACGAATTTAATCAATCACTCATACCCTTTGGAGTAAAATGAATTAAACATAGTCTGATTACCTTTTATTGATATATGTGTGAAACTTGGGCACTGTGGTAGACTATAACTCCATTATGGATAAGATTTTATTTTGATAAGTCACACAGCGTTACACAATAATATTAATTGATGACGTTTCGAGCATAAATTATTGCTCATAATCATATCAAGCTACTCACACAACTTTTTCCTTCATTTATATACATGTGTGGAATCGATTAGATATTGGAATAAAATTCAATATGAGATAATGTACATTCAGAAATAATAATAATATGAGTGTTATTGATCAATTACAACCAGAGAGGAAATAAGACGAGTGTTTTTATAATCATAATAAGTAACTTGTTAGAATGTTGTGATGTGTTTGAATTGAAATAGAATTTTAAGATTATTTACTATCCTCTTCTGATTTGACCGGCGGTAATAATATCTTCCATATTTCTGGTATTTGCATTGAGTCATTCCTATTGCATGTGTTGAATGTAGACTCGATGAACAAGGATTCAGTAATCAACCTCTCTCTGTCTCCATCCACCTATATTACTTTTTAGAATTTTAACCCTATCCCACCATGCTATTGCGTGTAACTGCATGCAGTGCAATGTAGGGTTGAGTTTTCTTTTCTAAATTACTTATCTTCTCGGGTGGGGTCAACCATTCTAACCTTGGCTAAACTCATGTGTTCTGACAATCTGACTATCCCGACCTACTAGTTTGACCTATGTAGTTGACCTAACTCACAGTCATTGCAGGGTATTTTGTAAATTATATTATTTTGTCTAATTGGGTCCACCGGGTCTTTTAGTCTACAGAGATTATCTCTGAGGGAGTTTGTACGTTTGAATGCCACTCTGAATCCTGCTTTATTCAGAATCCTTCGTAGGGCCTGAGATGTCTTCTCCTTATATGGTATAACAGTGGATGCCTTATATTCTCTCTAATTCATGTTATCATTACTAGTTTCACAATTATTTTTATTTTGCTTTTTACCCTTTCTGATCTTCTTAATGAATTTTATAGGATGGTTATTTGATACCAACGCTTCTTCTATCTGTTTCATTTCATCATTTAGGTCTTTTTTGTGCTACTTAGTGCTACTGCTCGGTTTGTTAGACACTTAACTACTAGGCCTTCATAGACAGTTAACGGATGAGGTGAATTACCTTTTACTTCTTTCGTTGTAAAATAAAGATACTATTGAGAAATTATCTACGTCTACATTTTCAAGTAAATCGTAGAAGAAAAAACACCGCTCATTTACTATTAACCTCTAGTTCCCTACTATCCAACCATATGACTATATCTTACATAGAGTCAACATTTATGAAACCTTGCCTAAGTCTTCCTTTGACCGATTACCTCCAACTGTCTAATATCATCAAATCAATGTGCACTGTGATGGCGAGCTACCTAGAATAATGGCCACATTGCAAACAAAAACCTGACTGATAGAGTACAGTCTGCACCAAAGTAAGGACTAGACACGTCACACTAGTTACTAGTGTCCAATCAAAATCTTGCCTAAATCAAATTTATAATAGTGTCAACCAATGTGCATGTTTTTTTTTCTTTTTAATGGTTTCATAAGCATAACATTCTGATTTTTCTTTGCTTAACTGTGCTCTTGCATCCGTTCTATTTCTTCGTATTTCATCATTTCTCCTATGATAATTGGCTATTTTCTTTCTAAGTCCTGATTTACTTGATCTGAAATCAACAATTCCACTTTTCAATACACTTGTCGATAACTCACATCTATATTATGTGAAAGCTGTTGATGCTACCCAGTTGTGCTCGGCTGATGAATTAGGTGAATTATGCAGTACTGGATGACAAGTGAGTGTTTTAAGTCAATTAGCTAGGTCTCCGCTGTGTTCAGTGAGATACCTTAAACTCTACATCTGAACAGTGAAAAGTATAAACAGTCTTCACATAAGAATTGCAGATCCTTGGACTAGTTCTATGCGTCGACAACTTAGTCATTTATTGGTTACAGGATTTCATCATGAGCTGACATCAGTTAGAAAACCATTGGAAAACCTGGGAGTACTGGGCAGCTGTTTCGTACAAGTTTGGGACTCTTCATCAGTACGCATCCCACACCACGGGGGTCGAACCCAGGATCACCTTCTGGTTACAAGGTGAGCTCATATACCATTAAGCCACTGGGACCCGATCCAATGGCCCATGAATTCTAACTTCTGCCAATTCACGATATAGCGCAACCGCTAGTCAATGCCTTCGGCGAGTATTTGTCCTCACACCCGACCTGCTGCACCCTACTGGTCACCACTTCCCACTGGAACCCCAGGTAACTACCTACCTGAATAGGACAAGTCGTCCTCGAGCATCTCATTGGTATTCAAGTATTGGTTTGTAGGGATTTGGTTCACTGGTTACAAGATTTCATCATGAGGAGGACAAATACTCGCCGAAGATATTGGCTAGCGGTTGCGCTATATCGTGAATTGGCAGAAGTTAGAATTCATGGGCCATTGGATCGGGTCCCAGTGGCTTAATGGTATATGAGCTCACCTTGTAACCAGAAGGTGATCCTGGGTTCGACCCCCGTGGTGTGGATGCGTACTGATGAAGAGTCCCAAACTTGTACGAAACAGCTGTCCAGTATTCCCTGGTTTTCCAATGGTTCTCTAACTGATGTCAGCTCATGATGAAATCCTGTAACCAATCAACCAAATCCCTACAAACCAATACTTGAATTAGTCATTTATGTTTGACTTAAAACTGCCAATAAAATTGGAGATTATCAGAGTAGTCCACAGGCTACGCGTGTGATTCAGTGCAACATTTCTTGGGTAGGATTTAATTCCGTTCTATTTTTCTTTTTCGATGCATTTATTTCCCGATACGAATTTAGAACAAGCAACAAGAGTTAATAAAGTAGGATATAATGAATTCATCAGCTGAATACTTTACATACAGGGGAATATATGCCCTTAGAATTACATTGGGACATATAAGACTGATAAGATATCAAGAATATTTCGAACTAAATAATGTTGATAATTGTGGTAATGCTAATAATAATAGTAACAATAATAACAATCAATGGTAATAATCTTCTAAAGAGCTCAATATAATGGTAATGATAAAACATAGTTATAAGTGAAATAATCATAATAAGAGTTACAATAAAACAGTAAAATTAATAACAGTTAATTAGTGAAATATATTTCCGTGGAAGATTCACAGTGACCATCATTTCCTTCTGTTGTACACAGAGACCTGGTTTATAAACTCTAATTGCACAAGCCTCCGCCTATTGCAAGCAACTTCCTGTTTCTTTGTCCACTGACGAAACAGTGAATGACTTGACAGCATCATTATCATGTCTGCAGTCCACAAGATGTTTTGTTATTGAACTTTTCAGGTACTTAGACTTTAGCTGTTTTCAACTACCCTGACGAATGCTCCACCACATGCTAGTAGAAAATCACCTATCTGTACGACCTATGTATTTCCCACCACAAACACACCGTAATTGATACACGCAGTTTGAAGTGTCGAGGAATGACGGCCAATCTTTACAAGATTGTTGAAGTACCCGCTTGTTGATGTTAAGCAGGACGAGTTTTGCAGCATAATAAGTTCTCTTGATAACTTTGTCGAGTCCACGGTTGAATACTTCTTGTTCGTCATCTCCTATAAATGACATGTTTTTTGTAACTGTTTGGATAATTCTACTGGGGATCATTCCTTTGAAGCATTGATTGATGAACTTCGCAGAATATCCATTTCTACAAAAATTATCCTTCCGAGTGTTTATTTCATGTTCATTTGTACTGTCAGAACAAATTTTTGGTGCTCTGTTAAATAATAGTCATTTTATATTGGATTGGAACAAAACTTGTAAAATGTGTCTACTGTCCTTTCCTTGAAGACTTTCTAAATATAGATCCTTCCATTATGTCGTCAGTCCTTTTCGTCAGAGAGACATCTAGGAAATCAATAGCATCAGTCTTATAAATCCCAATGTAATTCTAATGGTATAGATATATACTTCTGTATGTAGAGTGTTCAGTTGAAGAGTTCTACCAGAATTTGATGAATTCATTAAATCTTGCTTGATTAACTTTTGTTATCTTTTATTTGTTTGACATGAAACACATAGTGGTGAAATTTTGTTTACTGCTGACTAAGGTTTCGGGACACAACTGACGGGCAATTTCGTTTCTAGACAATATACCACTAATCTCCTATATGGATTAAACAGATACAATATGCTCCCTTTGATGATGCACACTTTTGTCCTTTGAAATAAGAAAAATGTCTTGACGCCTTGAGCTTCCGCACACACACACACACGACTCAATCTGTCTAAGGATCAGTTTAACACAAGTAGTATATTACCTCTACATACAACCTTGACTACTTATAGGTTTATTTCTTAATTGACGAGTTATTCATTATCTCGTTGTGCTCTCTTTTCTTTTCTTAATCATAGGTGTCAATGTAATTTCTTTACTACCAAGTCCAGATCAATTGTTTGCAGCAGATGAATTGGCAGATTTAACCAAAGATCCACAATTCCATTATCTCATTGAGTCTGGATTTGAACATATGAGAAATATATTAACATCACAAAAGGATACACAAGATATTGTAATGACAGATATATGTGGTGTGTAAAGCAAATTACTGTGTATGTACTTATGCATTTAAGATAATTTATTTTTATGAATAAAATTTCTGTATAATACTTTGAATATTTTTCTATCTATGGGACAAATATTTCGGTACATTTCAATACATTGAACTATTATGCGCTTTTAGGTTGGTAAGACTATAGTTTTAACCTTGATGTGACCAGCAGATGATCCAGGTCAAAATGTCTAAATGTGAAGCGTCAGTTTTTCGTAGGTTGCAGAGATATATTTTGGTACTCACTATTCACGGCTTTCCGTTGAAAGATCACCAGTAATTAAACACTATTACGCTTTGACACTATAAAAGTATATTGAAATATTTTCTAAGGATCTTCAAATTCATAACGCCGTATATGTGTAGGAGAAACTTCCAGGCAGGTAAATATAATAGTGAAAGAGCATAAGCAATGTTTAAAGGTGGTTCCAAAGACCTCTGCAAACTTGAAGAAGCTAGAAAACAACTCAACGATTGCACTGCATTCGATAGAAACGGGAAACAAAATCGACTTTGATAAGACTAAGGTTTTACAGAAGGAAAGGTTTTGGTTTATATAAAGAAAGACTGACTGCAGAAGCCCTGCATATATCGGTGAATCCCAACAGTTTGAACAGACGTGAAAGTGTGATGTTAGCTGATGCATGGTAAATCCTGACTAATAAATAAAATTGGATATGTATCAACAACTAGTCACACTTGGTCAAATTCCCGATTGTCTACGTTTTCTTATGGAGAGAATAACAAATGTTTTATGACTGTTAACCCACACACACCATTGTATACTGCATATACACATATATTTTAACAAAAGTAGACTAATTTTGAAAGTCTGACATCAAGTTTTGATCACAGTTCATACAATTTTTGTTGATTATACATGTTGATGCCTGTTTCATGGCTCATGATTGAACAAAGTTTTAAAAAAAACAAGAGATGTTCTTTTTATATATAAACCTCTGTTATGTTAATTTCGATTAATTTCCCTGAAGAAGTTCGAACCAGATTGCCAAACGAAACGTTGAAATTAATCATTTCGATTTTGCTGAGATTTTACAAATATAATTTTATTAATGTCTACTTCTCACTCGGCGCTCAATTCTTTTGCAACTATCCGGTCAAATCTTGATCAAAGTTCATATGACCTTCAAATTCCTCTATGGAAATGAGTGTTAAAGCTTGTCTAGAAGTTATCTATCAAACGATTTATATATTTTTCACTTATGTGTTAAGTAATCATCCGGTTTGTCACGGAAATATCCGACCCAGTTTCAAACTAATTGATTTTTCCCTACTGAATGTGCTTGTGGAGAAGTGTGTAGGTGAACTGTGCTTCCTGACTGATTACGTCGTGAAGGTTGCATTCTTCTTGGGGCACCTTTGCCCACAAAACCCCAGAGTAGTGTTAACAGTTCAGACTATGATGATAACTGATTTCAGTCTAACGGCTACACCTAAACGACCTTTCTGGCATGATAGGATTTTCAGGCACATCAGTCAGGGTAATTCCTTGGGCCGTTGCGCTAAAGAAGCCTGACCACTATGTTAATGTAGCAGCTACCGAGTGGGATTTTTCTTTACAGGCACATTCTGATACTTTGTTTTGAAAGGACTTCAAATACTCTCTGGTAATCCGACAATGTAAACACTCTACAGAGGAATAATCTAATTTACGAGTCATTTTTAATACTGAACTTCCTGGAACAATTAGTGCCTTGATGAAAGAATAGAAGTTGTGCACTGTGGTAGAGTATAATTCCATTGTGAATAAAATTAATTTTGATAAATTCTCACAGTGTTATACAGTAATATTTACTGACTACTACGTTTCGAGCACAATTTATTGCTGTTCATAATCATATCAAGGCAATACTCACACAACTTCCTTACTTCGTTTATATACATGGGTGAAAAGTGATCAGGACATTTGAATAAAAACATATGAGACATTCGTCTAACAGAAAAGGAGATAAGGCGCATTGGAAAACACTATTAGTATTGTCAATAAATATAATACGATGAGAATTAAGACGAGTGTTGCTAGTCAATGTAGTATGGAAGATAAAGTACATTCGGAAATAATATTAATAAAACACCAATATGGATAAGATTTTATTTTGATAAATCACACAGTGTTGTACAGTTACATTAACTTATTCACATTCGAATCCGAAAATGAACAAGGAGAATCAGCTATGTTTGATTGTAAAATAAAACGAATAGAAGAAGGTAAACTGCACAGAAAACCAACTCATTCTAATAGATACTTAGACTTTAATTCATCTCATCCGTTGACTGTTGAGGCAGGCTTAGTTAAGTGTTTAACAAACCGAGCAGTAGCACAAAAAAGACGTAAATGATGAAATGAAACAGATAGAAGAGGCGTTGGTGTTAAATAACTATCCTTTAAAATTCATTAGGAAGATCAGTAAAGACCAAAAACAAAATAAAAATAGTTGTGAAACTAGTAATGATAACATAAATAAGAGAGAATATAAGTCATCTAAAGTTATACCATATAAGGAGGGGACATCTGAGAGGCTACGTAAGATTCTAAATAAAGCAGGAATTAGGGTGCCATTTAAATCTACAAACTCACTCAGAGACAATCTCTGTAGGCTAAAAGACCCGGTGGACCCAATTCGACAAAATAATATAATTTACAAAATACCCTGCAATGACTGTGAGTTAGGTCAACTACATAGGTCAAACTAGTAGGTCGGGATAGTCAGATTGTCAGAACACATGAGTTTAGCCAAGGTAAGAATGGTTGACCCCACCCGAGAAGATAAGTAATTTACAAAAGAAAACTCAACCCTACATTGCACTGCATGCAGTTACACGCAATAGCATGGTGGGATAGGGTTAAAATTCTAAAAAGTAATATAGGTAGGTGGAGAGAGAGAGAGAGAGGTTGATTACTGAATCCTTGTTCATCGAGTCTACATCCAACATGTACAATATCAATGACTCATCACTGTTACCGGAAATATAGGAAATACTACTCACAATCGAGTCAAGAGATGAAAAATAATGGAATTATATAAACGAAGTTAAAAGTTGTGTGAATAGCTTGATTTAATTATGAGCAGCAATAAATTGTGCTTGAAACGTGGTCGTCAGTAAATATTACTGTGTAACACTGTGAGACTTTAATAAAATTAAATCTACCCACAAGGGACTCATCAAGTCTCACTTAAGATGATGCTCAGATCACTTGGCAGTGAAGAAACTCTACGACTAATATGAAATGATTATAACCGAGGTGCAAGTATCTAATGCATATTTTCAATGAAATTTGTTCAAAGTGATTTGACTAATGCAGCCTGGAGAATATTCTTCAGTTCAAGTACAAGTCTCTAACTGAAGTACGGAATAACGCATCATCGAAAAATCCACTAAGATCATGAGTTGTCTTAGTGTTAAAATCATACTCTGCAGACAAGTAGTATCTTTTGAACCAACTTGTAAAATCCACTTTGGCATTATTCAGCAGTCCAAATCAAATTTTTTTCTTTTGCACACCAACCCATATGTATCATTGATATAAGAATAAAACTTGTGCACTGTGGTAGAGTGTAATTCCGTCAGGGGTAGTCAGATTGTCAAAGCATAAGAATTTAGCTAAGTAAGAATGGTTGACCCTACCCGAGAAGATAAGTAATTTAGAAAAAAGCTCAGCAATTGCAATGCATGCATTAACACACAACCACACAATTGGGTGAGAGAGGGTTAAAATTCTAAAAAGTAATCTAGGTAGGTGGAGAGAGAGGTTGATTACTGAATCCTTGTTCATCGAGTCTACACCAAACACATGCAATAGGAATGACTCGTCACTCATACCTGAAATATGGAAAATACTATTACCAATCAAATCAAGAGAAAAACAATGGAACTATATAAATGAATTTAGGAAGTCGTGTGATTACCTTGATATGATTATGAGCAATAAATTGTGCTCGAAACGTCATCAGTAAACATTACTGTATAACACTGTGAGACTATCAAAACAAAATTTACCCATAATGGAACACCAACCCATAGTTTTGTTAAAACTGAATTCATCCGTTCAATTAACAACTATCGATGTGTAAAATATTTTAGTTCGTACAAAAAACTCATAATAAATAAACTTCTAAAATCATTTTTGATCTTGATTTTTCTTTCCACATTTTATACGATAACTGCTGTCTAGGGAGGGAGGATATATTGTCATTAATTTTCACAATTTTTGTGAACGAAATCAGTCACATGTTCCAACTATTATTAGTATTATTATTATTATTATCATTATTATATCCTTTAATTCCTAGAGGAACATAGGGCTTCAGCTGCGCGTCTCCATTGCCTTCTGTTTTCTGCCAACTTTTTCACCCCGCTCCAGGTCTGTTCACATGCTTTCATCTCCTCCTCGCATGACCTTCTCCAAGTCATCCTTGGACGACCAACTCACCGCTTCCTTTCCGGGTTCCACTTGAGTTATGGCTTGTCTAGTGATGTCACTTGGTGATTTCCTCAGAGTATGACCAGCCAATCCATCTCCGTTTCTTCCTGCCTATTTGTTTCGCAATCGGTTGCTGGTTGGTTCGCTCATTGAGGTCCCTGTTGCTGATCTTTTCTAGCCATCTGATCTTGAGTATTGAGCGAAGACAACTGTTAATGAAGGTCTGAAGTTTGTTTGAGATGCTCTTTATGACGCGCCAAGTCTCTGATCTGTATAGTGAGTAGCACTGACTTCACATTGGAGTTGAAAATCCGGATGTTATTTTTGATGCTGAGTGCTGTTGACCTCCACACAGACTTAAAGGTAATGAAAGCCTGTCTTGCTTTCCGATTCTGGCTTTGATATCCTCGTCAGTTCCGCCTGTAGTTGAGACGATGCTTCCCAGGTAGGTGAAGGAGGTTGTTTCCCATAACTGTATAATTTTATTTGACGGAAACCCAGTGATCCAGTAAGTACTATTTACTGATGACACATAAAAACAAAGTTTGAAAATTATGCTGAATAATTTGAGAAATCGGCGAAGTTAAACTTTCGACACCACTAGCAACCAATCAGCGAATTATCCAATGAGTTTCACGGACGCAATTCAATGTTGTATAGCGCTTGGTTCATTTCTAATGCGTGACATTTCAAGGCTACTGTTGCAATTCGAGGAGGTTAGTGTTTTCCACTATTTCCTGGATTTCAGTTGCTCCGGAAAGAGCGAATTTGTTTGTGTGGTGGTATCATTATTTTAAAAAGCTATGCCAAATCAACTGATGGGTTTGTTCATCGTTGTGCTATATGTTTGAAGTCTACTAACACTGGAGAGGGTTAGCTGATAATATTAATATTTCGTAGGAACTTACTTTCGCTAGGTCGCATCTCTCCCTAACCCAGATTTTGTATATCTGCAACTAATGGGTGTTGAAACAGGCTGTGAGAGCAGCAGCTGCCGAGATGGAGAATAGCCATATCTCAACAGTTCAGTGTTACCAGCATTGCAGAGACATGGCATCATGGAAAATGGAGAAAATCACTTGTTTGCTGGGTGGGGAAGACGTTATCGTGCATGTCGATGAGACAGTGCTGGTAAAAAAGAAATACAACCGTGGTCGCCAGCGAGCGAACAATATTTGGGTATTAGGTTTGTATGACACCTCCCTCCGAAAGGGATTCGTCGAAAGGATAGCAGATGGAAAAGCATTGACAGTCCCATGCTAAACTGGGAGATGTTTCTCTCACATGTTCGAGAAAGATATCCCATGTAACTTTTTTATTCTCTATTTTGTGCTTTTTTCTATAAATATACATTTCCATTCATCAAATATGCCTCTTTAATGTAATTGGTTCGTTCAAGGTCGTTTGCTGATTGGTTGTTAGTGGTGTCTAAAGTTTAACTTTGCCGAGAAATCAATTGAAACATCATGTCATCAATACGATAATACTGTACCACACTGTTTGTTTGTTTGTCAAATAAAATTATTCTGTGATGAAATGATATACACTGCCTAAATATTCTTATAGTCTATCAAAGTCTCGTGTTAGGCAAGTTATAGGGGAACTTGATTATCCCCATTAGTTTTTCCACAGTTAGTTCTGGCGATAACACACGAAGTAAGTAAGCTTCTCCTCTATCTTGCTGTAACTTCCTCACTCACTTGTAGTTGGTTAACAAATGAAATTCACCAACTTTATCGTCTACACTAACTGCTATCTTGTCTCGTGGTGGTCATGCTTGCATATATCACGGTTACCCAACAAGCTACACTTAGCTGAAACTAATGTTCCTGCAAATCCTACCATGCTAGGAAGGTTGTTTGAACAGTGATTAGACTAAAAGCAGTTACTACTATGAGGTATATGAACTCCAGAATTCAAATGCATCGAATGGTTTAACTAACCTGTATTGGTCACCGATGACCGTGGGGATGTTACTGTTGACGCTGTTCCGCTGCCTTATGGATAAGACTCCAAGTCAAAAGCTCGAGAGTGGTCGCTTAAGACAACCACCTGCTTCAGTCTGGGCGCCTGATCAGTAATCCTAGCCCACACGGACTAGTGTGGTGCATCTTCTTGGTGCCATATTGTACCGGGTTTTGTGTTCGAAATCAATAAAACAACAACAGAAGAATATTTACCGAAATAACACAATTGTATTAATAGAGGGTGACAAATAATACTCTTATAAACATTAGAAATGAGAGAACACGAAATTCAGCAAAGATCGAGATCCTTTCGGCGATTTCATTCTCAAAAGCAGCTGTACAATCGCATTTATATAGATTATTTTACATGGATACAATTATTATTTGTTTAATTAATTCCACATAGTAACGAAGGTGATAATAATTTTCAACTTGATATGAAAGTTTGAAGGTACGAATATAGATTACAAGGGGGGCTTAGAGACAAGATTGCATAGGAGGATTAGAAAATAGTTACAATGTATGCAATACTTAATATTTGATAACTGGAGAAATAATTTTAAGTCAAATAGAAGGTGATAATTGCTTTTCAACTTGATATGAATTACAAGAGGCTTAGAAACGCAGGGATAGAACGAATTACAGGTGTGAACAAAAATGAGCATGGAAACCAATTGAAATCAAAATTTTTCAATTTGAAATGTTAGTTAGGAGGTATGAATATAGATTACAAGAGGCGTAGAGACAAAAAATTACACAGGATTAGAATATAATTGTTAAATAGTTAGTCTAAACGGACTACAAGTGTGATCAGGAGGAGCATGGAAACAAAGTTAAAAATAACTAGTTTTATAAGTGAAAATTTGAAAAAATAATTTGAGCCTGAAATGAAAGTTAGGAGGTGTGAATATCTATATTGTAATCTATATTCACACCTCCTAACTTTCATTTCAGGCTCAAATTATTATTTCAAATTTTCAGTTATAAAACTAGTTATTTTAATTTTGTTTCCATGCTCCTCCTGATCACACTTGTAATCCGTTTAGAATAACCATTTTACAATTATATTCTAATCCTGTGTAGTTTTTTGTTTCTATGCCTCTTGTAATCTATATTAGTACTGCGGGAGCAGTTACATTGGAAGGACAGAAAGAAGGGCATATCTACGATTTTCTGAACATGTACCAAAAAGCTTACGTCTAAAGGGAACAAATGCTTTAAATAGTGCCATCACCAGGCATCTTCTCGACACGGGTCATGAGGTGGACGTTGAAAAGTCGTTCAAAATTATCAATAAGCAAAATAGCTCCATTCTCCTTAAGTTTGCTGAAGCCATTTCCATCAAGCGCATGAAACCTGATTTATGCGTCCAGAAAGAAGCGGTTATCAGCCTTTCTTTGCCCTGGTAACTGGATAATTTCACCTCTCTTTCCTCCGAATGTGAAATGCTAAAAGTTTCCATTGTGTTTGATTATTATCGTTCGGAATAGTGGTTAATATTGCATATTTATATATGTATATATTTTTAGTGTATGCGTATATTGATCGATTGATTTTTTGTTTAAACTGAACTCTGTGCAAGTATGTTAAAATTGTTTTTGTAGATATATTTAATAATGTCTTTGCCATGTAAGCAGCTGACGAGAAGGCAACGAAATAAAAGATGGTACCATTTTATTCTGCTAAAACTGTAGTTCTTGCATTGTTCAAAAACAAATAATAATTGTATCCATGTAAAATAATCTATATAAATGCGATTGTACAGCTGCTTTTGAGAATGAAATCGCCGAAAGGATCTCGATCTTTGCTGAACTTCGTGTTCTCTTCTTTCAAATAATACTCTGTAAAAATAAGTGAAATAGAAAATAATATCTCTTTATCAAAATAATGATGATGGTGAATAAAGCAGATGATATAGAAAAAAACAAACAAATCATTGATGATAATTTATGGTTTAATCCAACAATAAATATCAATTCAGATTCAGATAGTTTTCCAGTTATCGCTTTATTAGGAAAACAGACAACTTATGGAATATATTTTGATTAAAATAGTGCTTAGTTGAATGAACATAGATGTAACTCAATCGCTTAAGCACTCAAATTTCGTTCAATGAGTCCGCGAGTTTGAAATCTGCTCCATCGACTTCAGCCCAGGATCATTGACTAGCACGCCTAAAATCTATTTCTGGCAAGTGAATTTTGTCAACTAATGTGTCGAATTTGATCACGGATAGATGGATTAGGAAAGGACTAAAATCTAGGGGGTACTGGACGGCTGTTTTGGCCTTCACTAGAATGTATCCACGACTCTGCCGGGGGTCGAATACAGTAACCTTCAGGTTATGAAGCGAAGTCGTTAATCATTCAGACACTGGGACAAAATCCAGTGGCTCATGAATGTTGACTTTCTCCAATCCGAGATTTTATTGACTCCACTGCCAGCCAGTGTCATCGGTGAGTATCAGTCTTCTCATCTCACGACTTCTTACTTCAATGTATGCTACAACAAGTGATTACGAAGGAATTGACGAGAGGAAAGAAGACGCATCTAGAACTACACAAATATGCAGTCTTGGGTAATAATTAAACCAAGCAATTTATAACTCTATGGATGATCTCAAATCTACCCCAAAGCTATAGCAAACTCACAATGAAGCTCAACTGAAATATTACTCGAAACTATCAATCAGAAGCTGTTCATTCAGGTCTCTTCGACACCTCACCTCATCCAGATAAGTATGAAAGCATTTCAAATTTTACCAGCGAATTCAGCTATGATTCATTATATGGTCTCATATTTGACTCATGGCTCAATCGGTACGAAGACGTTTTTCTTATTGAATGTGCCATGTTTGATGATGCCACCAAGGTTCGTTTATTATTACGAAAACCTGGTACTGTCTAGCACAACAAATATCGCAATTTCATTCTCCCAAGAAATCCGCGTGAATTATCTATCGATGATATAGTCACTATTTTATCACACATGTTTGGTGGACAGTCGTCCATGTTCAATATTCGGTACCTGTGACTTCAGTCATCAAAAGTACCTTCCGATGATTATATCATTTATGTTGGTAAAGTGAATAGAGAATGTGGAGGATTCAAACCACATGAGATGACATCAGATCATTTGAAATCTTTGATTTCCATTAGTGGTTTGAAGAACCCCTGAAGATGCTGACATTAGAATTCTGTCACGTGTGGAACAAGATCTGAAAATGACTTTAGAGATGGTAACAGCAGAATGTCAACACTTCATCAACTTGAAGCCCGATACTGCTATGGTGGAGCACAAATCATAGCCGTCTGAATTTGACTCAGTTAGTGCAGTGAAAACTTCTCTGACCACCGTTAAGCACACAGAATGCCAGTCTCATAATTCAACTAAGCCTCCGTCAGTGTGTTGGTACTGTGGTTCATGGCATTTTGTCAGATTTTGTCCATTCAACAAACATAAATGACGCAAAATGTCACCGTTCTGTACTTAAAGATGGTTACTGTTCACCAGAGAAAAACTTTTCTATGAGGAACAAACATGGTTCATTCACGGGGAAACAAACCCTACGGGTAAGAACCTTTCGCATAACGTCCAAAGTTGATTTCGCTAGCAGACGAAAGTGTGTTACTCAAATGTTCCACTCAATTCAGTATGTTCTAATGTAACGTCATCATCAAGTGATTTTTCTTTCAAATCATGCATTATGTAGATCTCTGTTGCAACGCTTGCGTCAAAATCATGTTCCAATCTTCCAGGAAATATCTGACTGCTGCAAGTTCACCCAAGTCTCTTCGCCTCTGAAGCCGAACTTTAAGCCAGTTTTCTGCCCTAAACTTCCAGATATGTATCAACTCCAATCCCATGGACATACTGAACGCTTTGTCGACGCCCCTATGCGTGCTATCATGAAAGCGTGGATTTTCGCTCGTTTATCATATGACAGCAAAGACTTCTGCTTCAAATCAGTTATCTCCAGCGGGAATCACTTTTGTTCGGGAAGTCAAATTTTTTCTAAACACGTTCAAAAAGAAATTCCAAAAAATTTTACGAGGGGAGATGATAGAAAGCTGTTTAAATTAGTAATCACATTGTGACTCATCCTACGATTCATTTTGTGATCGGAAGACCTTGACTGACTGTAAAGTTTGATCATCTATTTCTTACCTTGGTCCTGGTCCAATCGTCAAACAATCAGAAGGTTTATTTTCCGCGAACCTAGTTAAACTGCCTGCCAATCAGAACGATCTATTTCCCACTGCCCTAGACAAGTTGTAATAAGGTTAGAATATGAATATAATGTGTTTTATCTTCATAAAATAGGACGCTAAGAGTCACAGCAAGTCTTTGTCCTTTGATATCCAAGTGAGTTAGTGAAGTGACAGTTACCAATGACGAATAGCGTATTCAGCACATAGCATATCAGTAGAAAGGTCGCTTAGACTAGGCGGTCCCAAGCCCGGATAAAGAGGGAGGGTTGGGGCGTGGTGCTAGCAACTCCACCCCCGTAAAACAACCAAACCGCTACAGAAACTTCAGCGAATAAATATATTAAAAATTCTAAAAACATAAGCAATAGCCTTACTTTTCGCTGGAATCGGGGAAGTGAAATGACGCAGGCTGGTGAAAGCTAGCCTTCGGGAAGCCAGTCAGCCGATGTGCCTGCCTTCTTTCGATGGAAGCAAAAATAAGGATGGGTACGTGGAATGTTCGTACAATGTACACAAATGGAAAGGCTGCCCAGATAGTCACTGAAATGAGGAGATATAGAATAGAAGTGTTGGGAATCTGTGAAAGCAGATGGAACGGGTGTGATAGGTGCCAACTGCCAACTGTGGAGACAATAATCTATTCCGGCCACCCAGAGGACAACCACGAACACACCGAGGGAGTGGCCATCATGGTGTCAACAACAGCAGCCAAAGCTCTCATGCAGTGGGAACCAATCTCCTCCAGGATAATGACAGCCAGGTTCAACTCAAAAGGAAGGAAAGTTACAGTCATTCAATGTTATGCGCCTACAAACGTCTCAGAACAAGAAAAGAAGGAGGCGTTCTACAGACAACTACAAGCAATAGTGGACAACGTCCCAAATGGCGATATCAAAATTCGGATGAGCGACACGAATGCGAAGCTGGGAGGAGACAACACAGGAAGAGAACTCACCATGGGTCGTGAGGCCCTCGGTGAAATGAACGATAATGGTGAACTCTTGTCAGACTTCTGCGCCTTCAATGATTTGGTGATTGGTGGCAGTGTGTTCAAACACAAGGATATACACAAGACGACATAGATTTCACCAGATGGACACACCAGAAACCAGATAAACTTCATTTCAATCTCAAGAAAGTGGAGACGGAGCCTACTGGACACAAGGTCAAGGAGAGGAGCAGATGTGGGTTCAGACCACTATCTAGTACAAGGGACTTTCAAGGTGAAACTAAAAGCCTCGAGGATAGCTGGGGATAGGCCACAATGCAAGTTCAACACTCAATTACTGAAGGACACAACCACAAAAGACACCTTCACTGCAACTGTCAGAGCAAAGCAGGAAACACTACGCTACATCACTGAGGAATCATGCATAGAAGAACATTGGAAGTCTCTGAAGGCGATTCTCAACGAAACGTGTTCAACGGTTCTAGGAAGAAAGAAGAGACAAGACAAGGAATGGCTCTCAATGGACACTTGGAAATTAATAGAAGAGAGGAGAATGGTGAAAGAGCAAATGATTCAATGCAAGGACGGACAGGAGAAGGAGACGATGAGTTCAACTTACACAGCAGTGGTGAAAGAAGTGAAGAAGAGTGCTAGGAAGGACAAAAGACGATCCTACGACAACCTCGCCACTGGAGCTGAGAAGGCAGCAGGCAAAAGAGACCTGAGGACACTATATCAGATAACCGAATCTCTATCCGGGAAGAGATCAACACAAGCGAAACCTATAAAAGACAGCCAAGGGAACCCAATTACCAAGGAAGAAAGACAGATTAAACAATGGGTGGATCACTTCGCAGGAATCTTGATCCGACCAACACCTGCAACCCGTCCACAAATACGAACAACAGAGTGTACACAACTGCAAGTTGACACCAATCCTCCAACGAAAGCTGAAGTCTTGAATGTAATCAAGCTTCTGAAAGCTGGAAAAGCAGCTGGACCAGATGGAATACCCCCTGAAGCACAGAAAGCGGACCCAGAGACTACATCAGATATGCTGACTCCATTATTGCAAAAGGTCTGGAAGGAGGGAAAGGTGCCTACTGACTGGAGGAAAGGTTACCTCGTGAAACTACCAAAGAAGGGCGACTTACGATTAACTCTGTAAGATCTGGCGTGGAATCATGCTCCTGTCGACGCCAAGTAAAATCCTGATTCACATCATCCTGAAGAGAATTAAGGACGCACTGGATGCAGAACTCCGACCAGAACAACCCGGATTCAGGAAAGTCAGGCAAATCATGTACTGACCGAATTGCAACTCTACGCATCATCGTCACAGAACAAAGCATGGAATGGCAATCAAACCTCTACCTCAACTTTATAGACTTTGAGAAGGCCTTCAACAGTTAGCGCTGACCGCGAAGTAATTTGGAAACTACTCGAGTACTACGGCGTACCCCAAATATTCATCAACCCTATTCAACAGATGTACGACAACGGAATATGTCAAGTGATCCACAACGGAAAACTCAGCGAGGAGTTTCGAGTAAACACAGGAGTCAGACAAGGTGAATGATATTCCTAATTGTGGTGGACTGACTGGATTATGCGTCAGATAGTGGGAAACGAGAAGACAGGGATATCCTGGACCGACGTGAAGAACCTAGAAGACCTGGATTTCGCGCGTGGATGATTTATGTTTGATGTCACTGTCACAAAATCGAAGACTTACAAGCGAAAACTGACAAACTGATCGAAGAAGCAGACAGTGAAGACAGGACTCCAGGTGAACACAGACAAGACGGAGTTTATGAAAATAACGAACCAACAACAACAGTAGCAGCAACATCCAGCGTCAATCACCATCAACAGGAGGCACTTGAAAGAGGTTACTTCATTCACTTATCTAGGGAGCATTGTCTCAACTACAGAAAGTCTGAACGGACGAGGATGTCAAATCCAGCGAGAATCGGGAAGGCGAGAAACACATTCACTCATCAACCTGAAACCAATTTGGAAATCTTCGTCACTCAGCCAGCATCAACAACAAAATTCAGTCGGATTTTCAATACAAACGTCAAGTCAGTCAGTTCTTCTATACGGATCGGATCAGAAACTTGGCGAGTGGGTCACAAAGAATATTTCCAAGAGCCTGTTGCAGACCTTTATCAACAACTGACTGTCTTCGCTGGCTCTATACTGAAGATCAGATGGCCGGGCCGGAAAGAATCACTAACAAGAAACTATGGCTGGGAACAAACAAAACAAGAACCGACTGCCCAATAAATATTATGCAGGAGAAAAGGGAGATGGATTGGACACTGGTTGAGGTGGCCGGTTGGTGACATCGCGCGTCAGGGCATTGCTCTAGTGGAACCCGAAAGAGAAGCGGCGAGTGGGACGTCTAAGGGTGATCGTGTGAAGAGAAGTTGAAAGATTATGGACTAACATGGATGCAGGTGAAAAGTACAGCAGAAGACAGAAGCAAACGGAGACGTGCAGTTGAAGCCCTTTGTTCCACTAGGAACCCAAGGAACAATAATGAAAATAATAATAGTAGCAGTAGAGTTGTCCACGGCGTCAGCATTATTATACGCACGCACAAGTTCACTCGGTTATTTAAACAGGCGACGGAATCATATCAAAAGTAGACAGAGTTTTCTTTGTATATTGATTATTTCCAACAACAGACTGATTTCAACTGTGAAAGCAGGTGGTTAGCGATTCCACTTACAAACACTTTCTTACATTTCATATAACAATTGTCAGGGATATTCTCAAAGAATCTAGTTGATATTTTCTTATCAGTCTTTCGTATGCACTTTCCACCACAGGTGCACATGAATTCGTAGATGCAGTTGCAGTTGGCATGAACAAGATACTTATCTACTCCGAACAGTATTAATAAGCACTCCGTGTTATGATTCTTTTAGTTTACCTAAATGTTTATTTAACTGTTGATTTCTGACTGACTGAATTCAACGTAGAAATTTGCACTGATGTTCAGCAGTTCCAGTTGTAGCACACAAAGTAAGAGAATACAGTGAAGAGAGATAATAAAAAGAAATGTGATGCAAAAAGAATAGTATTACAGAAGAAAAATAATTTTCTTAGATATTATAAATCACAAATAGTGAATGTATCTGCGCCAACGAGAACCATTTCGAACCATGTCACCAACTCTCTCCAGTTGTCATTGCTTTTTACCATCCCAAAGACCTCAAACAGGAATTCTACAACTCCCTACGTGACTGACTGCCTGAAACTAACTCTTGTGCATTTCATTCACTGATCAAGCCGTGTTTTGACCATAAATGACCGACAATCACTAGCCAACTCTTTTCCAACTTGATACATCCTATGTATGTCATGTCAACAGCTAACATTTCCTGTTGTCGAGGAAGGCGATGGCTAGACATCCATGCGTAACACATGTCCTAACCATCTATCTCAGTCGGTGTCACTTCACAACCTCGTCGATTGATTTCCCCTACCACACCTACCTAGCACTGGACTGACGCCTAACCTCAGTATTTCTCACTCTGTTGCACCGCCTGACACGGAAGACAGAATGGAGTCATCCATGATTAAATACAGCTGGCCAGCCTTTTCATATCTTCAACTTTCAATGGCCAGGTCTCACTCGCATCTACAACGGAGGACAGAGCGAACTTCTAAGCCCTTCGGTCGATAGCCAGACACCACGTCTACGCCAGAGACGACGTAAACTGGTATATGCGAAACTAGGCCTCTGTATCTGTGCTAGGATTTCGTCAGCCATCAACCCGTTGGCATCAGCTGATGCAATTTCCTAAATAAGTGAAGTCATCAACGCATTCTACCACTACTTCACCCACAATCTTCAAGCTAGGAGTCAATGTAGTCCAGCCTTGTAGTATCATCTTACATTTGGAAGGAGCGAATCAAATGCCAATCATTTGAAGATTGCTACTTGTCAAGGTGTTAAGAAGACTCTGCATTTTGTCATCGTCTTCACCCAGGTGGGAGGACTATATCATCTGCATATTCTAAGTCAACGAAATTATTACCTGGTAACAAGTCACCTATGGTGAAGTCCATTACTACATTGATGACAGTATTGAATAAAAATGGGGATAGTGTGCATCCCTGTCGGACACCACTAGTTTTCGCCACTTCATATAACAACTCTAGGTAACCTCTCATCACCTGGCTGGCTGCATGAGTTCGAGTAGAGTGAGTGCCTTGATCAGTGCGATGCATTTTCTCCACATTCCCTTCACAGCCAAACGCTGCCATAGTACCTCTCGGTTGACAGAATCGAATGACGCTTTCAGGTGCACAAACATGACGATTGTTGGACGCCAGTAAGTAAAGCTATGTTCTATAATCTATCGAAGGCTGAAGATATGATCAATACATCCTCTTCCTGATCTAAAGCCTGTCTGGTTCTCTAGTGTATATATTTCACTTTTATTTAACATTTCTTTTCACTCCCAACCACTCCTCTTCAAAGTTCCACATAACATTATGTATAAATCAAACTCTGACTGTTAGATAATTAACACTATCTTCTATTCATATCCTCTTGTTCTACAATTAAGCTCTTCGATTTGATCTCATTTTCAAAGTACGTTACGTGATATTTTTTTTCACATTTATAATAGCGTATGTCATTTTGTCGGTGGCTAGCAGTAATTCATGAAACCTCATAAAAAATAAAAGTATTTTCGGAAAACAAATATTAATACAAAATCTTTTTTAAATTATGAGAAAAAACAACTTCAAAAACAAGTGAGTTACATGTATGTGTTAAACATTTAAGTTTTTTTATGGGGAATAAGCAACTGGAAGAATGCACTCTCTAAAGTATTATACACTTCTCTTTTTGAAAACACTTGATATAATTGTTACTATGTATGAAATTCAATAGGATTCTCTTCTGGAAGATAGGTGATCCTATGCATCTTAAATTAATCCTAATAATTCTAATGTGATATCGATTTTATCGGTCTTGTAGCCTTCAAGACAAATTTCTTCTGGTTATTCACATTGAAAAGACAGCAGTCTTTCAGTAATATCTGTTATCGCTTCCTTATCACTGGATAATAATAATAATGATGATGATGAAGACGGTTGTTGTTTCGTTGTTAGTGAAGTTGGTGTCGTCGTTGTCGTTGTGGCTGGTTGACTTATAACAACACCGGATGGTTTCATTAAATCTATATTATAAGATTTTAGCCATCGTTTACTGTTCAAAAGTAAATCTATAAATAATAATAATAATAAATTAAATTTTATTCATTATTGTTTTATGTTGAATTTACCTTTATATAAACCATAGCGTAGATAGATGAGACATAAATGTTCACATGGTAGAAAAGATGACACATTGAATGCACAGGAACAAGTTGATTCATTTCGATTGACTTCATATTGAAAATAACCATCTTTACATAAAGCTATACCAGAATTGATAAAGTCAACATGAATTTCATTCATTCGAATAGAATGATTGTACATCATATCTGCAGCATAATCAGTTAATTGATTGAAGATACTTTTTAATTTCTCTGGTATAACAATTTTATTATTATTATTGTCATTACTCTCCTCATTTTTAGTTAAATGAGTCAATGGCAGATTAATTCGATTTGGTGATATCCAATGTTTTTCAGCTTCATTATGTAATACAGTTAAACAATCTTTAATATCAGTCAAATTTTTTAATGATTCTTTTATACTAGGATTAACACTTTTGATGATATCAATAACATTGACGCCTAATGTAATCACATCATCACTATAGAAACTAACCGCCCAATTGGATTTCATAGGCATCCATCTATTCATCACATAATTGTAGGCATCCACATCTGTACATTGCAATCTCTCTATAAAATAATCAAATCTGTAATGTGTTTTTAAATTATTTTTTTTTAATGATTAAACTTACTGTAGACGAGATTGTGTAGTTATCATAGCACGAAAATAGGCAATAGCTGTAGGATTCTTACACTATAGACAAAAACAGAAAAAGTTATTAATATGACTATTATCAATTTAATTGTATATAAAACTACTTTTCTGTTAAATGCTTTTTAACAATATACGGACTGAATAGAATTTTAGCCCTTGGAAATATTTCTTTTACACAGTCCAGTTGAACAATACCACAATCCATTATAAATGTACGAGTTTTATTGACATTTTGTGGAATAAGAGAAAAGTGTTTAAGAAATGTTGACAATACATCCTGTTGTTGAATAGTACTCATACAGTACATAATTGGTTTAGCATATCCAAAACCATCGATCACAATGAATTGGAATACTGAAGCTTTACTAGAAAACAAAAATAAAGCAAAATTATTATTATTTAAAAAAATTATTTATTTATATATTAGAAAATACCGTGTTGTTGTTGCATTGTGAGTAGCGCTTAAAACAACTACTTCTGGATACAATCGATATGTTTCAATTGCTTCATAACGTGCTATTGATATATGAGTTAGTTGATTCAACTCATTGCTTTCAGTTGCAACTTATGAACTTTGAGTTACACTACAAATAACTTCATCTGATGTCTTATTATTATTACCTATACACAAGTAATTACAAAAATATCTTACTTTGGGCTAATTGATCTTGTATTGTCAGTGAATTGCTTTCATTACTAGAACTCTGCTCTCTTTCTTTTTCAGCTGTTATACTTTCCTTCATTAGTATTGTCCCTCCAGGGTACAGAGGTCGAGTGTGATTATGTTTAAGGTTAAACTTAGCAACCACATAACGATCGCCAATCCATTTGATTTGAAATCCTGCATCACAGTCTTCAATACTAATAGATTCAGGTAAAATACATCAATCAAACATCAACTTACAAATCACTAATGCTATTCACATTTGAATTATATACTAACTTCATTGAACAAGAACATTTGTAATTAGCAAATTTATATATTGTTCTTTCTTCAGTGTTGTCCAGTATTTGAAAATCACTCCTCATATATGTCATACATGTTGCCTGTTCAACCCAATATAGTGCTGTTTCGACATCATTCCATTCACGAAGAGGACGCGAAATCATTATACGCGTAAATATATCCTCCTCTGACAATGTCATTATTTTTATGCAATAAGTTTTAAATATTAGATATTATGCTCAAAAGAAAAAATTATTTTAAAGTATAACTGAATCAAAATTGATACGATCGATCAATCTGCAAAGAAAAACAAAAGAAAAGGAAAATAACACTTTTGAATAACTTAAAGCATAGGAAGAACAATTGTAAAGTATTTTAAAGCCAAATTGTAAGACACTGTGCAAGGATAACGCTTTATAAGCAATAGATGAAGTATTATAAAAAACATAAGCTATGACTTCTATCACTTTGTTAGTCTCTTAGTAAACACTATTTAAACAAGATGAATTTTCCAGATCAAGAATCCAAGTGACTGACTGACTGACTGGTTTCAGCATAGAACTCTGCACAGAAGTGGACCAGCTCAAAATGCCACACTTCATTCACCATACGAAGGAAGATAAAAGAAAGAAACAAAGAGACCCGTGAGAAGAAGAAGGAGAATAAGCAGAAATGTGATGGAGAAATAGTAGCAACATAGGAAAGCACTTGTGTTTTTGGATACCCCAGATCACAAATAGTGAATGTATCTGCGCCAACGAGAACCATTTCGAACCATGTCACCAACTCCCTCCAGTTGTCATTGCTTTTTACCATCCCAAAGACCTCAAACAGGAATTCTACAACTCCCCACGTGACTGACTGCCTGAAACTAACTCTTGTGCATTTCATTCACTGATCAAGCCGTGTTTTGACCATAAATGACCGACAATCACTAGCCAACTCTTTTCCAACTTGATACATCCTATGTATGTCATGTCAACAGCTAACATTTCCTGTTGTCGAGGAAGGCGATGGCTAGACATCCATGCGTAACACATGTCCTAACCATCTACCTCAGTCGGTGTCACTTCACAACCTCGTCGATTGATTTCCCCTACCACACCTACCTAGCACTGGACTGACGCCTAACCTCAGTATTTCTCACTCTGTTGCACCACCTAACACGAAAGACAGAATGGAGTCATCCATGATTAAATACAGCTGGCCAGCCTTTTCATATCTTCAACTTTAAATGGTCATGTCTCATGGCCATAAAGTAGCTTCAATCAAGTGAATGTGTGACAGTATTATTCACATGAATTACTTTATCTTAACTATTATTTATGACAACAGACCTTTAAAAATACCATAGAGTGAAATGTACTTCTTAAAAATCTAACGCATAAGGCATGTCGCGTTGTGAAACCGTGTATGTAAGCTTCATCATTGACAGCGTTTGATGAGGCACAGACCATTGTGATATTGCAGAAACGATTGTGGTTTATTCAGATGAAAATTGGGTAAAACACTGAGTAACTGAAATTAAATTAAACACCAGGTTTCACAACTAAGACAGCACAGCACCACACCAAGACTTCCATTTAAACATCAAATTACCATCCTAACAATCACAAATATTAGAGAACAAATCCACCTCTGTAACTTTATCACCCACAAGATTTCGTATAGCATTTTAACGACTGTCGCCTCTCAAGAACCAGCTTACAAACACACCTAGACACCTTAATGGTTGACAATGCTTTAAACAACCCGAAAGCGGAAATATACCTGTGTCAAGATTAAGTCGAAAGCTTTACAACAATGCAATACTGTTACTTCTTCTGTATGATTCATGCACAACGAAATCGCAAGTGCAGTTACCTCATAATTTGTCTCTCATCCAAACTACATTTTGTCACTCTAGTCTTACCAACAAACTAACGTTTAGTTATTCAAATATTGATTTTTAGGAAATGATTGATTAGTTACAGGATTTCATCATGAGATGATATCAGTAAGAGAACCATTAGAAAACCTTCAGGGAGTACTGGACAGCTGTTTATTCCGTCCGAGTTCGGGACTATTCAGCCGTACGCACCCACCACAGGGGTTCGAAACCAGAATCTTCTGATCACAAGACTAGCGAGCTGGTAGACCCAAAAGCCACTGAGACTCAATCCGGTGGCCACCCCATGAATCCTAATTTCTGCCAATTCATAACGTAGTACGACCACTAGCCAATGTCTTCAGCGAGTATTTGTCCTCACGCTCAACCTTCTGTACCCTACTGTTCTCGAAATAGCAGAAGCTGGAATTGATAGGATGGCCACTGGATCGATTCAGGTGACAGTGGCTTAATCGTCTACGAGCTGGCTTGCCTTGTAACTATAAAGTCATGAGTTCGAACCCTGACTGTGGGTGCATGCTGCTGTCACTAACTAGGACGGAGGAAACAGCTGCAAGGAGTACTGGCCTTGCAGGTTTTCTAATGGTACCCTGACCACTGTCATCTGGGGATGAAATATTGTAATGTCTAGTCACCATGATAACAACCAAACATGAAATTATTCTTTCGTATAAAAATATTCCACTAAAAACAGTATTCCTGAAAATCAAATCCCTTTCCAGAAACAAATGATGGTAACTATAGACTGATCTGTAACATATATATATACCAAAATGTGTGGCTTTCATCCAAAATAATTAATATTTAATCTCTCTTCAAAAATACAGTCCACAGCCCACAGATCTTACTTCGCATTATCAATACCGACGACACAAAGCCAAAGCTTCACAATAGTTGAAACACAAGGTGACTTAAATCAGACTTTATCTGTTTCTAAAATACAACGGAAATAATATGACTTACTCAAAGGTAACAATACAAAACAACTGTTATTCAAGGAAGGACAAAAACATACCGAACAGTATTGACAGAGGGAACAGAATGATCGATATGAATTACATTTTCATATGCAAATAAAAAGACAGAATATGATATTCATCCAAGGTCGAAATCAAGTGGTGGGAGTCTACATTCAAATAACCAATAATTAAATGATAATTACGACAGACAAGACTAGATAATATTGATTGGTGGTAGTCTGTCATATAGTCTGTCTGTCTATTGTGTTTAACACTACCTACCTAGTCAGATCTCAACTGAAATGCACATAAATCTAGAAAACTGTGCATACCACAATGTTTAGGCAAAATCGAACTTCGATTTCAAAGGTTCAATATAATCCATCATTGAACTAACAAGACATACAAGAAAACCAAGAGTAATGCTACAATCTCACACCGAATATACCGTTCACTTGTAACAATTTCATCATCATTTCCATTTCATAATGAATAACAGTGACGATACATGCAGTCATACAACTTTATAGGGTGATATTGTGAAAGGATAAAAGAAAACTACAAAGTGAAAGCTTCTTGGAACATAATACAAATCTCACGCGTGATTTAAAGTCTTCCAGACAGTATGACTAAGAGCACTTAGGTCTACTACAGTTCTAGATCTAATTTTAGAGGATTATTTTTCAACGAATAGAATGGAACATAGAGAATTTCAGATATCAGAACTTCTACTATTTGCTACATGAGTCAATTCCATTAACAAACTAGTAATTATGCCAGAATAAATGGAAGTAATCTCTGTCTTTGAATATCTCTATTCACAAAACGCACTATATGTACAACACCAAAGCTCCTGCAACAGTTGTTCATAAATAAAAACCAACCTCACTAATTAAAGCGGTGAGCTGGTTACTCAAAGGTGACCGAAAAACAGGGCACTAGGAGATTAGGACAATGATTGTGCTCATAATATATATATATAATAATATATGAGTTTCCCCCACAGTCTTAGAAATTAACGAACTACATTCAGCATATGAAAACCACAAGTTGCACAAGTCTGCTGATAATGACATCAAGAAACAAGACACAAAAATAACGCAGAACAGAACCAATACTAAATCCAGTACATTCAGAATCAGTCTTCAGAGAGCCACATGCATGTTAATAAACATAGTAATGATCCACATTTATTGCAAGGGCTAATAATACTACCTTGCCACCCAAACCTCAGTTCGAACTCGGGACCGATTCCTGGAAATCTGAATGCCTTGCACAACTAGCTACATTCCTCGTATAGGGCTCAAGTATGTTGCTGAAATAATCTAGACCGCCCATCTCATTGAAATAGTTTCACCTTTGTTAATACATTCACCATTGCGACAAGTGTTATTCAAAATACTACCTCAGTTACAGTCATAATGCAAATAAAGTAATTTACATTATTTTATAAACCACCCACTTCATAATTTCAAAAGCACTCATGACTCAGGTTCACGGGCCATTAATTTACATCAGGATGACGCCGTATTAGTTGAGAAAAACGTCTGGTCATTACATTATTAGTATTTACATTTAGAAGGGTGTACTTACATAACTGCCGCTGTTTCCTCACACGTTTGTTTTTTTCATTTGCCTAGAAATTAAAATTAATGTTGTGATTACTACACGTTGATTAAACCGTAGCTCCTAAAAGTGTTTCGTAATATTATCTGATTTCCTTTCTTCAGAAAACGCCTTTGGACGCGATCTTTGAAATTAGAAAAGTAAGATTTTGTGGCTTTCTCTATAATGTCTCCAATCCTTCTAAACAACATTACTTGGCCGGAAAACTCAGCTATAACTACAGCTACAGGAATAAATACTTCATAAATGAACTGTATATCTCACGATTTTATAGAAAACATAGGATAAAATGCCGGACATATTCATAGTCCCTTGAAATATCAATTTCAAGCCCACTTCAGTTCGAGAAGGCTGAGCATTATAAATTATAGGGACAAGTGTGGATTACCTGAAGGCAGCTAACCATTTAAGCTGTTAAGACAAAAGTGACAATTACATAGGCGACCTCACAAATAGCCCGTTACACATATCGTCTGCCTGAGATGAATCTCGCCTCACTAAGAGATCTTCAGTTTCGGCCAGAAACTCCGGTGTGCAGACAGAATTGGATGAAAGCTTAGTTTACCATCGATATTTGCTGCTAATTGTAACAATGTTCAAAAACTTCCCACACTAATTCACGCTTTCTATTGATGACTATTTAAACGGAAAATTCATTTCAATCAGGTAACCTGTGGGAAATTTAACTTCGAAATCGTATTCAGAGCAAGTGAAAAGATATTTCCTTTACTGTTGTACGCTGCAACATGAATTCACTGTTGGCTTTGTATGCCTCAGTCCACCTCATAAACGTTATGCGTGTCTTCTGAACTTTTCCAAGAAATTCGATTGAGTCATTCATGAATTTGTGTTTGAAGCCCCAGGTAGTGAATATATAATAAGGGAGGTTCTCAAAGCCGTCTGTCCGTCTGCTGCATAGCTAAGCTTCATCTCCATACATACTCTTGTTCACCAGAACGTCAAAGACAAGATCCCACTGTTGGCAACTTCAATGCACATTTACCAATTCACTTGACCCTGTGAAGGTACGTACATAGGCCATACCAGCCAGACATTGTCGAGAAGCATGCATGAACAGTTACCAGTATAGTTGTCAACAAGAGAGCATAGAACAGTCAACAGTTCACTTCTGTAGTGTATTATTACATCTGGTCATGGAACATCAACAGAGACCTTTTTCAGAGTCATACATACAGTACGACGAAGTCATTTGAAGGAATTTGGCCTACATCTTCATGAAGCCAAAGCCTTAGTGATCGAACAAGGAGGAAATTGAACTTTATGTTCAGAAATGTTTTGTGCAGCCTCTTTTACTACCATAGCTTTAAAACTACTTTTTCTCCTCTTTTGTTTCCCTGAATAAGTGTATAATAAGCTCTGTTTAGTCCGTCTTTTATCATTACTCAACTATTTATTTGTCAACCCTCTTGGTTGTGTAAGATTTTCCAACTTTCCAAACAGTTGCTACTACTACTACTCATACACTATAATTTATTTTGTAACTAACTGACAATGACTTTTGACATCTGTTGTTAATCTACATTGTATGCATAACCCCCCTAGATAACTGGACAGCTTTGAAGTGAAGTTATGAAAAAAGAGATATCTGTTTTCTGACCCATGTATTAGCATATTGTAATTTTTACTGGTGGGAACCAGAGGAATTATACCGCGACACGCCCCCCCCCACATTTCTAATTGTCACACATCCTCCTTTCCCACATACAGATGATTCGAGCTTCCTGAAATACTGGCTTGTTGACGCTAAACAGTCTTCTTAGATGCTACATTCCTGTTTCTGCTTATATAGTAATTTAACAAGTAAATCAAAACTAATCAGTACGGTCAGCTTAAAAATAGTGGTTACATGAACTAAACGACTAGTATGGACTTCCCGGATAGAGCATGTTGCTAACGTGATTTTTGTCATGTGAAGTAATTCCTCTAGTGTTTGACATAAATGAATTGGATAAACACTGTACTTTGGTTAATTGCCATACTATTCACTGACAACTCAATTCATATTTATGTGTTTTCCTGAGTTCTCTCCCCTGTTCTTGCCTTTCCTATTCACTGTCTCACTTCCTAATTAGTTAATTTCAAATTTCAGCTTATTTTATCCCATCAGTATTCGGTTATATTTCCATGCATTAGTCATAGGATGACCACTAATATCTCCGAAGAATTCTTAGCTCTATTCATTTACACTACAGATGACAAGAATCGCCTATGTGCAGTTATTTCCTTCTGAGGTGTGCATGAATGTAGAGTTTTTCTTAATGTTTACAAAAAACAGGCACAATCAAACACTGTAGATTACCTTCAAACCAAAGCACGTGTTCAGTTAGTTTGTTACATTCACACATTGTTTGATTGTTCTCATTAAAACAACATGTTTTAATGCCTTTTTCACGCCACACCCTGACCATTTCATATATACCACTTGTTCGGTTTAAATATATTTAACTTGCCTGTTGACTAGTTGGCCTACTACTGGGCTAAACTCTCTATGAATTCAGGAAGCTTTTAACGTTGACGCGGATAGCTACAGGCGGAAAGATAGTAGAGCTAAAGACTTACCATATTATGATGGTGTGTGAAATTTTTGGATTGTAAGTGTAGTGTGAGAGTGATATAGTATTTGGATCCATTAATGGTTTCAAAAGAGCATTGAGACGTATGAGAATTTTTACTACATGAATACAATTCAAGAATAATTTTGAGACATTCATTTTAATTGGTTGGAGGATTTCATCATGAAATGACATCAGTTAGAGAACCATTGGAAAACCAGCTGGGAATCTTGGACAGTTGTTTCTTTCTAGTTTTAGGCTTTTCATCGGTACTCACCACCGCCAGGGTTCGAACCCATGACCCTTTTGGTTAGAAGGTGAGCTCGTAGACCATTATTACATTGGATCAGGTCCCAGTGGTTTTATAGTCTACGACCTCACCTTGTAACCAGAATATCTTGGGTTCAAACCCCTGTGGTGGGAGCGTACTACTGAAGAGTCCCAAACTAGGACGGAGGAAACAGCTGTTTAGTACTCCCTGAAGGTCTTCCAATGGTTCTCTTACTCCTGTCAGTTCATGATGAAATCCTCCAAGCAATAAAACAAAATTCCCTATAAAACCAATACTTGAACATTTATGTTAGGACATACATTTTTTACTTACTAGGTGAATATAATTCAACTAAAGTTTACTAGGTCACAGTGTAGTGACCCATTTTACTACTCATCTTTGTAGTATACTTTCACTATGTAATTGGACTTTGATTTGTTTAT